CATTAGTCAACGTAGACTTGGCGGCAGAATCGGCCAGGGCATTCCCGGCACAATACCACTGCTGCATCCCCCAAAGTTTCCGCAGATCTTCATGAGCGGCGACTTTGCGTAAACAGATATCACCGGACTGCACCTTGCTGATTTCGTGTGCAAGATCAGGCCAGAGCGCTTCGCGTCCGTCTCGAGCACGGTCCCATTCCTCGATGGCAACCTTGCTATCAGTCCAGATTTCAGCTCTGCACCCATGCATCTTGGCCAATCGACAAGCCTGAATAATGGCACAAATCTCTGCTCGGTGTATGCTCTGTTCGCCCGGGACAAGGCCGAGGACGTGAACTCTGAAACACGTAGGCAAGGTACCATCTTCGCGCCAGCGGCCGAGATGAACCGGTATCTCCGTGTCTGACGCACTCATGTCAACCACAACGGCGAAACCAGCCCTGGAGGCCAGAGGCATCGTGGGATGACTGCAACTTCCGTCAGTAAACATTCTGATGAAGCCACGGGGTCCCGGGACTTCGGCTTCAGGCGGCAATGGGAGGGGCTGCGGCAGCTGTCGGGACTGGAATATCAAGCGGTTCACCTCCAAGTCTGGGGGCTCGGTCGCAAAAGGCCCATGAACGCAGTGGGGCCACCTCTCAACGGCAAACTGCACCAGGGGCTCAACAGGTTGAAGCACATGTCGGAGTGCAGGGCACTGCATAATCTTATGGTACTTGGTTTGTCGGGCACCGCACAATGCACACTGGGAGTCAGCGTCCTCGGCCCACAACGCCTTTGCAGAAGCAGAACTAAAGCCACCGGCAATGTGGCGTGCAAGCAATGCCTGTTCGGAAGGGCAGAACCTCGCCAAGATTTTTCCGGTGGTCGACGGAAGCGGGGGCGGCACTCCAGCGAGGCCGTTACGATGAGCAACAGCCTCCGAAACCTTTCTTGCCCAAGCCCGTTGCACCAACGCCTTGACCTCGGCCTTTCGGCAGACATGGAGCCAAATTCGTGAATTGTCGGGTCCCTTAACACACCCTTCATCATCGAGCGAGAGCTCAAGTCGCTGCAGTGTGATGCAAAGTGCAGTAGCCGGGCCATAACTTCTGCGGGAGACGTCACAGGCAGAAGCAACTTGGACAACTGAGAATGCAGTTTCAACATCAATCTGGCAAGCACGCCGCAGCGCAAGGAGTTGACGCTCAGCGATGTACTGTTGAGGATCCTGTACCGTATCAGTGAGTGCGCCAAGCGCCAAGTGAGGCGACAATACCTTGTATTGCCCGATCACCGCACGTGCTGCCCGACCTCTCAAAGAAGTCAACAGATGCAAAGGAGCCGTATGGCTCTCACATCCATAGAAGACTGACGGCCACACTCCTCGTTGCACCAGGGATGCACGCTCACAAACAGGGCGAGGTTGGTCACGGAGCCTGTCTAAGCGTTCCAGAGCATCTTCAACTCTCCGATCCCGGAGGGCAGCATGAGGCATGCGGTCGTAGCAGTAGGCAACGCCAAGGTCCTTTGCTTCAGTGACGCACGTCACGGAGACATCCGTGGGAAAGACCTCTTGCCCTGCTCCTTTCCACCAAAGGCGGTCACTCCGGCAAGTTGCCCAACAGTAGGATTTAGCCCAGTCAACCGGGACTTTCAGGCAATCCAGTAGGTTGAAAGCCTTTGGAAGGCCAGAGCACAGTGGGGCACTGTCTTCAGCAGACCACGCCCAATTGTCAACATATGTTTCACACACCAAACCCGGCGCGTCACAAAGTTTGACCACGAAGAAGCAGAAGGCGGCCATAAGGGCGACACTGAATGGATCACCCTCCGGGGCGCCATTTGTCGCAGAGAGGCCATCACTTAAATCACCCATAAAGGAACTGTGTCTGCGGAGCTTGATCTGACAATCCAACCAGAACTCAAGAGTCTCGCGGTCAATCCCTAGGTGCTCGGCCATAGCCAAGGCAGGCTGCCACGGCAACTGATTGAAGCATTTCACTAAATCAACCGAGGCTCCCAGACGACGCGTACCCCGCACGAGTGCGAGTTCAATCTGATGCTGCTGCCGGTAGCTCAAGTCCCGACAGGATCTTTGGGGCATCGAACCTGCAACAGTCTCTGGGAAAAAAACCTTCCATTGGCTCAACACTTGGCGAGTCAAGACCGAGCCCCACAGGCGGTAAAGTGTGGAGAAAATAGTAATCGGCCTACTTTGCTTAATGGACACTGGACAGGCGGTCTTGGCGAGGACCCCGATTTTGGCACGCAAGAGGTGGCCAGGCAGGCCAAACTTGATCGCCCGCTCGAAAATCAAGCACAGAATTTCGATGGCCTCCAAAGAGAGGAGCTTCAGGTCTGAAGGGGCCCATCCACATATTCCAGTAGCTTTGCGAGCCGGCATGCGTTTGATAGCCGCTGCCCAGAGGTCCGGTGCAAAAGAGTGGACTGTGATATGATGCCGCGGGACACCGTGGGTCTCCAACACCTCACAGAACTCCGTCCATGCAGACACCGAGCAGCCCTCCGCAACCGAGTCTCTTTGCCAAATGCTGCTCCAGAAACAGTCAAATGCACGGTGTAGCTCAGGGGGGCTGCACGCAACGAAGTTCTGTTGCAAGCGGCCACGTTGAGGCAACGAGCGCCCCTCAACCTGGACCGAGACTTCAGTCCGAGAAACAATTTGGCAAGGTGACGAGTCCAACCAAGCCGGACCCGGACATTGGAGATTGGTGTGGGCCGGCAGCGAGTAGGTGGCCCTCTGGTCGGAGTCAACATGGACTTGATGGACCGGGGCATCGACTTCACAGGGCACCTCAGTGAAAGGGGGGTGGGCCGGCGCACGCATCTGTCGGAACCCATCCTTGCTGGAGGATTGCAGGCCATCAAGTCTCACATGGTACAGGAATTTGTCTTTGCGGAGGCGTGCTTGTTGGCGAGCAAGGCCGTCAGCATCGAAGCGCAGGTACGTCAACAAATCTTCAAGCCACTGTATCTCTGGCAGAGACACAGGAAAATGATGGAAGGCAGCGACAGAGAGCACCCACCGCGGGAAGGTGGGGGGGTAGCCTTTGGCTTTGCAGACTGCATGCCACTCGCTTAGTAGCTGACTCAGCCGACCTGAGTGGAAAGGCGGGCCCAAGGAGTGCAGTTTACGAAGACCAGCAAGAAGCGTTTGCACCCTTCGGACCTGGCGGACCTTAAGGTGACCTAACACTGAAGTGACCTCCACATCGGGATTATACGCCCCGTGCCAAGCCGGTCGGACAACAGCAGGCAACGGGCGCTTCAAGAGAGGTCGATCCTTGCACCGGCCGCGATACCGTCGCGGGAGGCTGGTGTGAGGCTGACGGAGGGGGTCATTGACATGCTCGGCGGCAAGTGCCTTGGACACTGCACACTCAGCTGACTCCGAGAAGCTCAGAAGTGTGGCGCCAACCGCGTCAGCGGATGTACAAGCAGAGGCTTGACGCTTGAGCTGGGGAACAAAATGAAGGAACTCCTTCTGGAAGTGACTCGCACTGGGTTTGAGGTCCGCCCACGGGCGAGGCAAATCCCACACCTGCCGACACAAGGAGTTTTCACAAGACCTCAAACCAAAGCACAAAGGAGCGTGCGCATCGAACAGCTGCGCATCGTCTATATGCCGACGTCCACAGCTCAAGCAGGGCAGGGTGCAGCAGCGCAGTGTCATGCCGCGTGCTACCCTTACAAGTAGGCGGCAACAGAGTGCCCGTGCGGCGCTTATGTAACTGAAAAACTTCTTGGTACCCCAACCCTTCAAAAGCCTGGCCCGCTGGCAACTCAAGGGGTGGTGTATTGAAATCTCCAGCCACGATGCAGGGCACGGCAGATTGGCAAGCACGATCGAGAGCCATGTACAGCAGGTCATTTGTTCTATCCTTGGCATCAGCCTGTGACAGAGGAAAACCATAAATCACTATGACCCGCACCTCAAGGGCACCTATCCTAACGAACCCATCTACCAACCTGCACGTTTCCAGTGCAGCTGGTTGCATGGCAGGTAAGGCCGCATGCGCCGGGACACGAGAAGCGATGGCAACGCCTGCAGCCAGCCCCCTCAAGGTGCCGGTGGGGCAACTATCACGGTGGTGACACGGGACAGGTCTGCCCCACAAGCATTTGAAGCCAATGCCACGCATGGCTACCGTCATCATAGACTGCACTCTGCTGACAGCAGAAGTTTCAGCCATCAGCAAAACGTCGGCCGCAGTCGCCTGAAAAGCAGCAGTTTTGTGGAGCACACTAGTCGGATTGAGGACGGCAAAAGTACACACCGGACCAGTCTCCTTGCGGCAAACATTGGAAGGGGCGGCAGGCGCATCAGGGCGTCCGAAGAAAGAACCGATGGAACGTTGCGGTCCAGGATTGCTGGCCTCGCCCACACGCTGAGCACAGAAGGGCCCACTTTGCCATAGGCCACAGACAGCAGAAGGTTGCCGACAGTTCGCGGCAACAGGAAAGCCGAGACACCCGCACAAACTAAGCGCATAGAACCCAGGAAGGCCAGCACTCAGGGGAGGCGCTTGATAAGCATGGTGTGGTTTGGCGACGAGCAATGTGCATCTCCAAGCGAGGCAGGGGACGCCCTGAAGAGGGGACCACGCGGCATCAACAGTAGCGGCAGAATTGGTCAGCCATAACAAACTAATTCTTTGCTGCAGAGCCGTCTGAAAGAGACGGTGACCGTCTAGGACTGATGCCCTGAGCAAGGGAAGTGCATGAGCGGCATTGCGCTGGGAACAAGTGGCTCCTTGCATTGGAGCCGCAATCGGCAGTGGCACATGATCACATGAAGCCGTCAGGAAAGATTGGCCTGCTTCCATGCTGGCAAAGTAGCCACCCCGGCAGGGAACAGGCAAGGCCCCATGAAGAGCCGGACATCCAGAAGATGAACCCCAAAAAACCCGATGCAAAAAACTAGCAGCCGTCTGGCCTTGTACTTCACGCAGTATCGAGGCACGGGACTGCTCGGGGCCCGAGGGCCTCTGCGCCTGTCACAAATCGTGGTCCATCCTGCGCTGTTTGTTGCTGTCGTTGCAGGCAAGCAGGAGGTTTTTCAGCTCGGCCATTCCGGCTGACATTTGCTGCTCCTGTTGGAGCTGGGCCTGACGAACTCCGTCTAGATTCATCTGAAACTGCTGTTGCAGACTTGTCCCTAAGGACTGTAGTTCAGAGCGGACAGTTTGAACATCCTGAGCGGCTTGTTGGCGGTCCTGGAGGCGCTCCTGATCAGCATTTGCCTGGGCTTCTTTCAAGAATTGCACATTCTGCTCAAGTTCCGCCAGGCGGGACTCAGTAGTATGCACACGAAGATGTAGCTGATCATCAACGGCTTTAGGCACAGTGGGGCGGCGGGACCCGCCAGTCTCCCCTGCTTTGCTGGCCCGGTACTGGCTCCACGGATCCTGCTCTTGCCACGGGTCGGGCGGCACACCGTCCTCAGCGGAAGAGGAAGGACGAGGGAGAGGGCCACCAGCCTGGATCACTGGCTGTTGCGCTGCGCGGCTCTTGACCTCTGAAATCAAGATAGGAGTCTGATTGAAATGTGCTGTATGTGCAGGTGGTATGGCCTCGGCTCCCAACAGCCAGAACTCTGGGCCCAATGTTTTCATGACACGCACTGTCCAGGGGAGCTGCCGCGCCCATTCAGCGATGTCCGCAGCCGCAGCACTAGCAGGAAATGGGCCTGCTTTGTACAGGACCTTCACCTGAACATTCACTGGGACATCCTGTCCCGGGCGCAGTTGCTTGTAGATGCGGTCAAAAACTGCAGTGGGGACCCGAACTCCAAATCTGTTCCGAGCTCGCACGAGACCATGCTGCTCAGCAATCAGGCTGATTTGCTTCTCTACATCACTTCTATTACCTGGGACCCAGACAACCGCCCAACCAGGAAGAAGCTGACGGTCCCATGTGCGTGGGACGACGAAGACATTGTTAAACCCGCTCTGCTGCATGAGACTCTTGAGCAGCGGGTCAGGGACCTTTGCAAAGAAGGAACACTGATCACACAAGTGCGGCTGGCTGGGACGTCCAGCAGCTTTAAAGACGCGGCCCCAAGGGCTGTGAATGGCCTGCTGCATGCCGCGGGACTGGAAGGCCTCATTGGCGGCCCGAACGGGAGCTTTGGTGACTTCTTTCCATGCCACCTCAGTGAAATCAGCCTGGTACATGGAGAAGGCGCAGCAAGTGGTACCCTGAACAGAAACCTCTGACCCATGGGCAACGTGCGGGGAGATGTTGGTTTCTCCCAAATTGTGATAGCAAGCCGCCAGCAGGTGGCGGTGTCCACTCACGCGGTGCTTCACAGGTGCACTCACTCTTCCATCACAGGAGTCAGGGTCAGGGCAGGTGTGCCCGGGAATCACGACACACAGCGCGTCCGATTCAATATTTCGAAGCAGATCAAGGTCCACTCCTGTAGCTTCAGAAGCATCCAGAAGGAGCACACCAGTGCAATCATGGGCAGCGCTGGCCAGGATTGGGACAGGTTGGTGATCAATGCCTACCCAAGAATCGGGCTCCAACAGAAAGTCCGAAGCCTTGACCGGAGAGGGCTTCTCAAGACGCTTGCGGCGCACTGCCTTTTGGAGACGCTGAGCTGCACGTTCGGCCCGGTTATCTCCAGCCGGTAGCTGGACACCAACGGTGGACGCAGCCTCCTGCAGCTGTTGCCATTGCAGCAATGTTTCTCCTGAGGCGAGAGCTTTCAAGCAGGCGGCGGTGCCCAGTTTCGGCACGAGGGCATCGACAGTAACGGTAGTCTCCGGGAGACCAACCCCGCGCTCAAGCAACAGTGCAGCGACCCGAGTTTTTGCCAAGGTGGTATTCTCCTCTTTAACACCGCCCCCGTGCAGGGCAGGGTGGATGGTAAGCAGAAGGGCACCTGATTTTCGGATCACTCTCGCACCTGCCTGGCTTGCGATTATCTCAAGGCAAGTGTCCGCATCCTGCGGGAAAGGTCCAGAGAACACTCGATGCTGCGAGGATAAACCACATGCAGAGGAGGCAGAGTGCCACCACTCTGAAAGGTCCTGTAATGTGAGGTCGCTGGGAAGGTGACCACTCCACAATGTACGGGCCACAAGCTGCACCTCAACAAAACAGCCATTTGCACAGGAGCACTGCATCGCGGTTTGATCCAACAGGATGGCACATTAGTTGGATCTAGTCCTCTGGTTTTTGCGTCTGGTCCTGTCATTTTCCGGCTCAAGCACTGATGCTCTGGATGCTCGTTGATGCTTTGGGCAATGCTCATGGTGCTTCTTGACTGACTGACTATGGACGCCATGCGTGTCTGTGCGCTGTGCGTGTGAGTAAAAAAAATCCTTAACCCCACCCCAATACATATATATATATATCTCTCTCTCTCTCTCTCTCTCTTTGTCTCTCTCTCTCTCTCTCTCTCTTTTTCTGTCTGACTCAACCAGACAGGGTCGAGGGTTCCATCACAAGGGCAGGCTAGTGCTGTCTGTCTGAGCTGCCGGTGATGTGTCTGCTGTGCTTTCGCAGCTGCTGCTGGTCCAAAAGCAAACCCTTTGTGTGCGACAACAGAGATGGGAAAGGATGCCCATGGCCGCCTTCCGCATTTCGGAAGCAGGGATGCTCTGAGAATGGTTTTGCAGGGCAGGTATAAGCTCAGCAAGTTGAGCAAGGCGATCAAAACCTTGGAGACCTCCGTGCCCAGGTTGCCCAAAGCGTGGGTTCAAACTCTTTTTAGAAGTTGCAATAATTCTTCACTGTCTGCAACCGATGCTGACATCTCAAAATAAGGCCTGGCCATCCGCGAAGGATCTCGCTCGCCGGCTGCGTCGCGTTGTAGATGCGTTTGAGAAGCAGCAGATGAAGATGATGCAAGATGAGGGTGAGAAGCGCCGTGACCGTTCCAAGCAGTAGTTTTTTCATATGGCTGGCAATACAGGTCAGCAAGAGCCGTGGTGGCAATATCGCGAAAGTTGTTATGACAACTATGCTGCCATGCTGCTGGACTAATAGTGATACCTCTCCTCGAAACAACAGCAAAAAGATGTCGTTGTCTTGGTCTGAAGAGCAAGCAGCCAATTCCGAGTCATCGTTTCCCATGTTGGTGTGTGCAAGCGAGTGTCATGTTGGCAAGGCTTCCAAGCTTTGGCTCTTCAAGAGATGCCAAGCACGATAAAGGGATCTTGAGCAATAAGAGGTTAGGGTCCACATTCTTAGGCTTTGTATGGCTTTGTACTTTAGGGCTTTCCAATATCCTGAGTTATACGGGTATCTGGGGGAACAATCAATAGCGATCTTTAAAGGCCTCAGCTTGGACACTGCCACCAGTCAGTAACAGTTGGATAATATTCATGATATAACTATTTTAGGCCCTCAATAGTAGCCCCTATAGACTGTTACTGTCTGGAACCAGTGTCCAAGCCTCAGCTTTGGATTGTCCGGTTGGCGGCTTGGGTTGAGGGCTCTTCGGTTAAGATTTATATAAGGCCGTGAGGGTTGATACGACTTTGGCGGGCTTTGGGCACTTAGGGGTGTTCCTCTCGTACCTCATCTTATCTTTAGCACACAACATAGCTTCGACCCGAAAACCTGAACATCCCCAGACCCTGAACATCCCCAGCTAATGGGCCGGGGTGTTGTTTGTGCTGCAGCAGATGGATCTCGGTGCCGCCGTTCGCTCTGCCTGCCAAGGGAAGGATTCTGACAGTGCCAGGGGCCGGTTGGCAGCAAAGCTGCAGCACCGTGGAACTGGGGTTGCCGGCTTCTCTTGGGATAGCTTGCAGCGAGCACGAGTTCGGATCCTAGGTTGAAAACTGATGTGGGATTAGTCTTGCCAGCTTGCTTTTGATGGTGAGGTTATTCTTCACTTTGGTAACAAGCCTCAGGAGCCTACAGCAGATACCCCTGAAGAAGACGATCGTCAAACGTCGGTACAACAACGCCAAGCGATCTGCACATTCGGCTCCAATCCCTAAGAAGAAGCCGCTTGACTAGCAAACATGTCTACCAGTTGCTGCATTAACCAGTGACCTAGAAAGCAAAAGAATCCGTGAAATCGCACTTACAAAGCTGGGTTGGTGAATTCCACTTCCAAGTATCATCCTGTAGATTCTAGGACCGGCTTCCCAGGCCGCCTCCAGAGAAGGATCGTTTGGAGGACGTCCTCGCCTTGAACACCTGCAACTGCACGCGAAAGACTTGCTTCAGACGGTTGCGGGCTGTCCGGAAAGGGTTGTTCGAGTTCTGCTCTTCTTTCCGTGCGCTGGGGAAAGTAGAGCAAGATGCTTTCGCCCCTATTCAGCACATGGTCTCGGATGATGTCAGTTGCTGCTTTTTTTGCTGGAGGGTTGAAGGTAGTTGGCAACAGTAGCAGCACAAAGCTGAATATTTCCTTGGTTGCTTGCCACTAAGATTTGCGACACCTTGAATGCTGGAAGTGATGCCGACTGCAAGGGCCGAAAATCCTACGATGTGCTGGGAGTGCAACTGGGACGCCCTTGCTTATGCAAAGCTCTGGGAATTGGCAACGGGCGGCTTCACAAAGCTTCTATAGGTCTTACGGACACACGATATGCTAGCAATGTGCCCCTGCACCGTGCTGCGAAGAAGGCCAGAAGTGTGGACAATTTTCTGCTTCACCTACATGGTAGCGTTGCAGAACTTTTACCTACAGGGCCTTGGCCTCAAAAGTTTTGGGGTGTTCGCAACAGAAGCCTCGATAGGTTTTGATTCTTTTCAAGCCGGGTCCTGCTTAGGTTCGTCATGGCCCAAAAGCAACCACGCCGCGGCTCCAGCAAGGACGGGCCTGGCGACTCCGACGATGATCTGGCCCTTCCAGGCGAAACGATGCAGGATGATGAAGACCTCAGGCTTGAAGTCAACATTGACCGGGAAATGTGGAATCGGCGGCTAGTCTTTGGTGTCGGCTTTGGGGTTTAGGGGTTACAGGGCAAGCTTTGGGTTATCCTTTGTCCGGTTCCTGCTAGCCACAAGCTGTACTGCTCGGACACGAAAAACGATAAACCGCAAGACTTATGCACCTTCCTCCCGCCCAGGCATGTTACGACGACCCACGGTTTCAACATCGGCAAGCTCCCGCGCCGTTATCTTCCGCCAGGCAACGTGATGGACCTCTACCGTCACTACTGCTCGACCCAGCCCCTAGAACACGCCTCGCACCTTAATGGCACACTTCCTCGATGCATCAGGGCTTGTAATATGCAATCTGTTGTTGCTTTGGTTTCTAAGGTATGGGACTTTCAAGAGTCGCTACCAGAAAAAGTGGAGCTCCTGCTTACCTTTCCGCCCACAATCCGAGTTCGCGGAATGCAACCAATGCTTTGACATAAAGCAAGAAATCAAGGGGGAGAAGGCCGGGAATGAAATCTCCGCAAAAACCCTAGCACAAATCTAGCCGATGTAGCAACTCGCAAGTCATCCCGAAACTTGTCGGCATGCTAGGACCTTTGCAAAAAGTTTGGCCTCATTCGCGATTACAAGGACCATCTGCGGGCGGTTGGTTTCGATCGCGAATTAGAGCAACACTTGGAGGGCCTCGATCCACAAAGTAGTGATACGCCACTATTATTGTTGCAATTCGACGGCATGGATCAGGCAAAGTGGGCTTTGCCGCGGTTTCCCGAGAACCGAGGGTCTAAGGCCTTGCAACAATATGTACGTCCTCGCTTGAAGATGGTGGGAGTTTGGGCTTCGAGATACTTGTTGACATTGTACCTTATAGACGCGAATGTCGCCCACGATGCATCACTCACGGTCGAGGCCTCCCATATGAAGACCATCAGTCCAATCCTCCAAGCCCATAAGCCCAAATCCCAGCTCGCCTCATACAACCCTACATCCTTCTAGGCCCCCTTTCTAAGCCAATTCTGTTCCTGCCATTGCCCCACAGGTGCTGTCACGAAGCCTCGAGGACATCATGAAGCATTGCGACGACAACGGCCTTCGAAGGCCGGTGGAGCTGGTTTGCTGGGCTGCTCGCACAGCAAATAGGACGAGTTGGTAATGATGTCTACTTAGCATAGATTTCATTGATTTCAAAATCACACACGAGGCGGATAATACCGTCAGGGAGAACAAGAACCGGACAGTATTGGGCTATCTCATTTGGTTAGCAGCCAGAAAGGGCTTTCGTCTTACCAATTTGACATCATCGAGAGTGGGTCATACCCACAATCGACTCGATGCGCTTTTCGGCCTCCTGTCGAGAGCTGTACGCTACGAAGACTGCCTTCTAGACCTGGAGGACACCCGTGAGAGACTTGATTATATTCGTACAGATCGCACTCTTCTCTTGTGGCTCAGATATACTCTTACCAAGTTGTAAGCACTAAATTCAAGTCATCCTTCATCATACCGTAATATAAACCCCTAAACCGTAAACCCAATACTGAGGAAGGTGGAGCAACTCCTGCATCGACTAAACGTCCGCTCCTGGGTCGGCAGAAACGCAGCGATGAAAGTCGTTGCCTTGGGCCACGTCAAGGATTGGCAGCAGTGGTTTCTCGAACTGCAGTCTTAAATTGTTGTTTTCCGGCCACTCGAGTCTACTTGTATCTTCTACATAAAGGTCCACCCAACATCCATTGCTCAAATGTGAAGGACAACCTGCCTACAGCCAATCCAGCCAATCCCAAGCCCAGGATTGACTCTCTGAGAGTCCACTGGCACGGTGCATTGCTGGATACATCGGATGGTGTGCACTCCTTTACGTTCTTGCGGAGGCATGGTAGCTTGTTGGCTACCAAGTATCGGGATCTCGCTTTTCGGAGTCTTGTTCAAGCTTCGGGGGCGAGGTTCAGTGTTGTTCGGGTTCAAATATCAAATAGAATAATCTTGAGTAGGGGCCCTTGTTGTATTCTTTGACTACTGGCTTCAGACCTGGGCTTTGCTTCGTAATTTGTATCGTGACACGACATATATCAGGAAACCCCCGCCCTAATGCAAGCCCTGTCAGCTAGGATGCCTTCAGTCACTATAGTGTGTTAACAAATTGAGATCAAAGCCTGGAAGCCTGCCACCAGCCAGCCTCAGCCCAGATGTGCCCAATGATGCCCGTATTCAATCCGAAGGGCCGATGGCCCGGACCGTTCCCAAGTCTGACTTCGATGTGATCTGCTACGTGAAACGCTACGCTTCGGATGAATCGGTTTCGCAGAAGCCCTTGCTAGTCCTGCCACATGACTTCCTGGCCCGACTGCCGAGCTTAATTCCTGCCCTCGAAAGACCTTTAGCGCCTCTGGGCTTGAAGAAGAGGAGACAATGGTTGGCTCTGGCACAGGAGCTCTTTCAGCGAAAGCGAAACTCCGATCGGACCGTTCGATACCTTCTCAAGGCTGCTCAGGGTGGCACCATTGCCAGCGAAGATGCTGTGCTACTGCCTTGGCACACGTCAAACCACGAGCTCAGATTGGTCCGTTTGGAGAATGCTTCGCCGAATACGTTTTTCAAGTTATTTCCTGTTGCCCGATTCAGGGCGACGCTCAAGAGGTAGCCTGACCTTCATGTTGAAGATTCGGTGCCCCGCAGAATGTGTCTCGCAGAATGATACTTCGTAGACTCCAGGAGCATGATATCCAGTTATCAGGGTACTGTGAGTGTATCTAGTTCTGGGGCCGATGCTAAGTGCTCTGGGGGCATGTGAACAATCTCCGGGAATTTGGACTAAGTCCAACTGCTGATTCCCTCGGACTCGCTACTGTGCACTTCAGAGTAGTTCGAAAAATTGAGCCTGACATGTCACATCGACTTGAAAGCTGGGGTCCAATGCAAGCACCGATCGCAACAGACTCTCAGTGCCTACCTAGACGCAGCTCCAAGCTTCCGAAGAGGATTCGGGGGCCGGGTGCAGTCTGCATGGACTCGGAGGAAGAGCGGCTGCTTGGCGAAGAGGGCGATGTGCCCTCTGATTCCGAGGAAGAGCGTCTTTCTCAAGCGCCACTAGATGAAAGTTAAATAACAAATATATCAAATGACCTGCAGTCTCCATTGTAGTTCCTTAGTTCCTTTACTTGGCTTAACCAAATTTATATTTAGGATCCTTTAAGTTAAGGTAACCCCCGGAAAGGAACTACAATGGAGACTGTAGGTACCTTCAATTCTCAAGCACTCTCAACTCCCCTGCCAGACAACCCCGGCCCGAGCCCAACAACACAGTATCAACACAGATCAAACTACTCCCGATAAACAAAGCTCCTTTCAAGCCCCGACAAACGTGTAGCAGCACATAGACACATGACGAAGAAACCCTGCAACAAACCAATGAGGACCTTTTTACCCGCTAGCCCAGTAACAAGTGCCTACGGTTTAGTTTGGTCGAGACTAGATTGGACCGAAACAGTCGTCGTGCATATTAAGCCCAGGCCCCGAAACGAAGCTCCCAGCCCAGAATATGAAACAACCTATGTAAGCCCCAAGGCCCCAAATACTTAAGCCTTACCATAATTATCTGTAATCCAACCAAGGCAACCAGATCCTGCGAGAAAGCCGCTGAATTTTTCAGTGGCTGCTGCAGTACAAGGAATCGCGATGAAGGCCCACTTGTGTTCGAGCTTCAGATGTTTGCGGTATTATGAAATTGACTTGTTCGTCGTTTCTTATCATGCTAAACCATAACCATCCTTCCGGGTCCCTGGCCAGGGACCACGGCGGCCACAACCTCTGCGACGGCAGCCTAAGGCGAAGGGACGGACCCGAAGGAAGATATACGGAACTCAGCTCCCGCCCGCGACTGCTTCTGGTGGTCCCAAGAGTGTCTGTGAACAATTCGAATGGCCACGAAGGCCGGATATTTATATGACTAGAACCTTGAGGCCCCAAGGTTGCAAGTAGGTTGATGGGTTTCTACAATAAGCTTTCAAAGCCTCCCCCTGCCCAGGTTTCTGCAAAAGGCCCAGGACGCCTGGGGTGCTGAATGGGTGCTAACACGTCTGGCTCTGAATCTCAGCTGGTTCCTCACCACGACATTTTCTGGAGTCGGATGTCTTGAACTGGCTTGCAAGAGTGCACGCTATCTGCAACTGGTACGTCTATTCCCTGTTAACCTTAAACTTTTGTAAACCCAGAAAAAAGCCAACCCTATACAACGTTCCGCTGAAATATCAGGTGGAGACCGTGGCCCGTGCAGCCATCCTCCGAGCCCATTTGGATGCACACTCGGCCTGCATTCAGTTTGGCGCCGCTACGGACTTCTGCCCCTACTCCCAAGCAGTGTTGCAGAGCACGTGGCGAGGTCGATGTGTGTCTTCATCCAAGTTGTGCATGCACACAGCAGCTGCAAGTTCCAGGGCTATCGAGTAGCAAAGGCCTTTGGGGAATATGTGAAAATCACTCAGGTTCAGCGATGTGCTCCATTGGCGAGGGAACGACGGGCAACTCATGAATGCTGCTTGGTGCACCGCCCACAAGAAATTCTGTGCCCTCCCTACGAACGATAGGCATGGACGCAAGTTCAGAATCGAAGCAGCTGGGGCCTCCTGCCAGCCTTTCAGTGCAGCTGGCAAACGAACAAAGGCCCGCCCGTATTACTGAGGGATGCCTCTAGAATCCTCTAAATTATACTATACCGTGTCCCTTTGCACTGCAGACCATGCACGCCGCCTTCGCTTCGCACACTGTCTGGCATGCGATGAGGGAGAAGCACCAGGAGGCAATCGCGGGCACACCTCCAGTTTGAAACTGCTTTGGGTTGCCCAAGATAAAATAGCTGGTGTAAGAAACTACTCTCCGCTCTGAGATGAAGCATACATGACTGAGATGTGAACAATGGGACACCATCTATTTCGACAGGATGTCATCATCTTCGAGAACACCCCTTTTTTCGATGTGGCGATACTCAAGGAACGCCTGGGACTTTCGGCAGCACTGCTCTTATTTCAGCTTGATTGTACTGAAGTTCGGAAGTCAAAGTGTGCAGCAATAGATCGCAACTACCTCAGGACAGTGGTACGACATTCAAACAGTGTGCCTATGTGCTCGCCACCTTGGCTTTGCTTGTGCCAGGGCAAGGCTCTGGGCTGTGTTGACGAAACGTGACTCAGTGAAATGGACGACGAAGCAGAGCTTGGAAGAGTTGGTGACAGTGTTCTTCGCAAAACCACGCATGCACGTGCTCGGGCGGGTTAGCCTGGACTTTTCCGGTTTCTTGTTCGATTGCGATTGCAAGCTTGATTAGAAAACCCTGCAGACCAAACACCCAAGGCAACCGACTTCTTCTATGTCAAGAAGATGAAAGCCTCCCCGAGCGAGAACTTGAGCCCTGCCCAGCTTCGAACCAAGAGGGCTTATGAGGAGGTCTTTGGAGATACCAAGAAGGCTCTCGGGTACAGGGTTTCAGAAGGGCCAAAGAGGTTTTCGTAAACCTGGTAACAGCAGCTTCCCTGAACCCGCTAGTCACGCTAGTCCCAAGCCCATCTAGATTATCTTGATTCTAGATCCCGGAACCCAAAGCCCCGAAACACTTGCAAAATGATCCACAATCCCAAACCCACGGATTTCAACTTGAAGCCCTCAGCTGTAGACTGCTAGCCCCGAGACGTTCTGGCCGCCCAATGTCTTTGATTTCTTGAGTACGAAGCTACTGCTGTACTGTATGAGGATGTAAGCTCACATTGCTGGCCTCCATCGGCAGGTCTATGACTTGTCCCAAGCCTCGAGCAGCCACATGCGCACAGAGCTTGACGATGAAACACTGATGACACTGAAGACGAACTGTGGAAAAATCTACTCGCGACAGCAGAACCGCCTCATGAATGTGGAGGAGATTTTTACAACACTGTGTGTGCCGACAAAGCTCTCTTTCGTGCCATAGCACTTGACATTCGACTTCTCGTTTTTTGATTCCCTCATATCTATTATTATTATTCCAAATAATCAGTACAGTGCATCGTATCAATTCGTCAAATCTGGATCCCATCTCAGGCATCTGCGGCTGGAAGCCCCATGGTCGACGTTTCTCGCCTGCCAACGTCAAAGGCTTGTACGTTGGCCGGGAATGGGATGCACGTAGCACAGGCGGGCTGCATCTTGATGGTAGCAGCCCTGTTTCTCGAAAGAGTGTAGCCTCCGACCTGCCTGTGTGACTTTGAAACCTTAAGCACTTTGTCCTGCAGGGCTATTCAGTCTTATCCTAAAGCGAGAATGTTACAAGCGCCTAAGGTGAGTGCTTGTCGGCTGATGTAGCCCGATCCCGATAAATGTCGATGAGTCCCAAAGAGAAACCCCAACCCCTAACCCCTAATTCTCTAGTACTACCCTAAATAACTAATTAAGTTGAATCGTATATCGAAACCACGCACACATTCCCGTCCTATGAGTTTCATTATTTTATGTGTCTCGGAGCCAAAGTCTAGGTTGAGGTTTATGTTAGTTGCCAAGGATTGGGTTAAAAGGGCTCATGGTTCTAAACGATTAGAGTAACCTCCATTTTGGAATTTACAAACTACCTAGTACTAGATAAATAAATCTAATACATCCTCAATAAACAGTTTATGGTAGAAGCCAGAAAGTTGGAACATTAGTATCCTCATGCCCCTAAAGTAAAGTATACGGGATCCTAGCACAAATCCTCCTAAATCCATGTTCCAACTTTCTGGCTTCTACTGTAATCCAAACCAAATAAACCCGAACCTGGAGCTGCCGTATAGAACGAACAACAATCATCATACAGGGATACATCCTTACAGCCGAATACCACGAGTCAGGTAGTAATCTATCCGTAGAAACCTGGTATCACGGGGTTCCTGTAGGATCGGGGGCATTCAAATTCGAGTGCGAAGCACATAATTCCTGCCGGCTCCGAGCTCAAGGATCGAGGCACGAGGGGCAACAAATTCGCCGCTGCAAGGGCTGTGAACGACATATGCTCATGGTGCCTCATCTGTTCAATGCAGTCCGTGCAAGAGGTGTGATTCCGCAGCCGATTTGTTTTCATTTTGGAGGCTGTGTGCCGTAGGAGAAATGCCTCCTAAGAAGAAGGCCGCCGCCAAGAAGGCCAAGCATGAAGAGACCTGGGTGGGTCGAATGGTGAAAGCTTTGGGGCCCCCAGCATGATGTTATGGGTTCAGAGGCTGACGTGCGATATGTCTGTGTCTAGGCAGGTATGCAACCTCACTGTCAGTGCAGCAACTAAGAACGTACAACCCCGAAGAAGATCAGCATCCTTGCAAGCTGGTTGAACAATACTTCGGGCCCGATGCTGACAACTCCTTGCCCACGGCAGTGAACCATTGGCTCAGTTCGAATGGGCACCCCGAGGTAGCAAGCCTGCAGTGTAGTATGCTTGTATCATTCTTGCACGACTTCTTAAAGTCTAAAAACTTCAGACAATAAAATAGAAGCCTAAGTCCCAGTGTCAGGTGCGGCTTGACAGCCACACGTTTCCAGCAGAGAACACTGCGGCCAACATCCCGCTCCTGTCCTTCAGCCTGCCGATACCGGTAGACCAGGCCCCGCCGCTGGTTACTTGGTCGAAGTTCGCTCCCTCGATCTTCTCTTGCTGGGAAAATGAAAGGGAGCCTTTGGAGGTGAGGCCCCTAGGCACGCCTGCCTTGCGCCCGGGAGACCTCCTCAGCCGCGCCTCTGTGGCGGTGTGCCGTGGCTACAGTCGCAGCACGATCATCGGCTTCGGCATCGCAAGGACCCTCATGGTGGAAGACATCGGAACGATGCCCGAGAGCGAGAAGGAGGAGTTCACCAGGTGGGGTTCGAGGAGCAACATTTGGGGTTTGTGGAGGTAGTGAAGCTCTCCTCCGAAGCAAAGCCCCCAAACCCAAAACGCCCACAGCCCTACCGCTGCACCCCGCAACCCCGAACCTCGAAACCTCAAAACCCCTCAACCCCTACACCCCTGAACCCCCAAGCTCGAAAACCCAAACCCCAAAAGGATAGACCAAAAGACCCCTAAATCCCTAACCCCAAACCCCTAATCCCATTGCCGTCTGTTGCTTTGGTTGCTGTTGCTGTTGTTTGTGTTGTTGTTGTTGTTGTTGTTGTTGTTGTTGTTGTTGTTGTTGTTGTTGTTGTTGTTGCTGTTGTTGTTGGTGGTGGTGGTGGTGGTGATGTTGTTGGTGGTGTTGGTTGTTGGTGGTGGTGGTGTTGTTGTTGTTGGTGGTGGTGGCGGTGGTGATGTTGTTGTTGGTGGTGTTGGTTGTTGTGGTGGTGGTTGCTGTTGTTGCTTTTGTTATTGTTGGTGTTGGTGTTAGTCTTGGTGTCGTTGCTGCTCCGGCTGCTCCTACCACTTCATGGGCTGAGTCTCAGGCAAGCATAGCCAAAGCACGTCGATATTCAACCTCGGAAACACACTCTTGATTTCGACTTGGTTCCGTTGAAAACCAATCGATTTTATTATGTGTGGGCATGACCCAATCGAAAAGATAGTCGACGCAACTTTCTCCCAAAGACTACTGCCATTGACTTGGTGAGTGGTACACATAATGAAATCGATGTGGTTTGGACAGAACCACGTCGATATATAGTGCTTCAATGGCCCTTCGTATTTCGACTTGCTTTGAATAGGCTGATCAGAATTCACACTGGTCTCCTGCTTATCATAGACAGTAAATGCACGATTTTGGTGTCTTCCCATCAAAGGCATGGATATCGACTTGGTTCCGCTGGAACCACGTCGATTTGTTGGGGCCACGCAGTCAACGGGGGCTCAAACCGCGTCGATATCCTAGCAGGAGCTAGGGGTGGGTAGTATGCGGGGACCAAAACCACGTCGATATCCTAGCAGGAGGTAGGGCCGGGTAGTGTGCGGGAACCAGAACCACGTCGATTTGTGCTGAGCAGTTAGTATCCGAATCTAGGGTCTATGCTTGAACCGGAATCATCGCTACTTTGGGGTAATCTGCTGGTAGAAGTTATCACACCCTTTCAAGCGAACTACCTTTCATTTTAATTCCTACTATCAAATCAACGAGGTGGCTCCTGAACGTGCTGTATGTCAAGGTTCTCTACACGCCTCGGCTTACTCATGAGTACAGCTACCGGAACATGCAGCTGTCTGTGCAAGCGGCTGATCGGCAACGGAAGAACATCCTACAGATGGCTTTGAGGTTCCATCAGCGGGCACAGCAGATGGTGTGCGAAACTTGGCAATATCATTAAAGCCCCGTAATGTCCGAATCCCTTCCTCGGTTTCGGACCAAATCGAGGAGACGCCGGAACTGCTCGGCCCCCACAACGATCCGATGGAGGCGGCTTTCAAGGAATATAACAGCTTCGGGCTTGCAGAGCAGACCGATCAGTACAAACTCGCCGAGAAAGACTGCCAGGCCATGAAGGCCGCCGGTTTTAGAAGCAGTTACTCCGAAGAACATAAAAGTAATACCTAATAAAACCTAAAAACAAACCCTGGAACCTGATAGTAATAAGCCGACACCCACTACAAGAAGCGCCCCGTGCCTAGCTTCCCATGAAACAAAATTCAATCCTCGTCGTCCGTGTGGCAACATCATACATAAGTTTAATTCCGATTTCAGGTCCTGGTTTTAGGTGAGGGGTCCAGGTCCAAATGAAGGATGTTGGTGGTACGTTTTCGTGGGCCTGGGGTAGCAGAGCCTTCATCCTACAGCGATGATACCATCACTGGCCCAAAACCTGCCCCTGCTCCAAACAAACAACAACAAGCACTTAAACCCTGGCTCTCTGCCGCTGCATCCGGGGTCTCGGCTGTGTCTTCTTTTCTGCTTCTGCACCTGTAGTTAGGTGTAGTTGCTTGACATTGAGGGATTTCGAGGTTGCTTCTTGGAGTCTTGCACTTAGACAACTATTCTTACTTATGAGTGAAGCGACTACTGCTTTTCTATTGTGTGAGCACGACCACGACTGGTGTTGTATGACTACGACTGCACCGGACAGGTTGAAGGTTACTGGCACCTATTTAATGTTAGCTCAGTTTGGCAGCCTTCAACTATGTGCTGGTAGTCTAACCTTCCGTTGGCCCTGGATGAGGTTCTGATGGCAAGTGTCTGCGAGGATGTTCGTTTGCTGATGGCCAGGCATCTGCAATCGAATGTGTGGGCGGACTGCGCCTACAGCCTCGAGAATGTGAAATCTGTTCGTTGGCACCTGGGCTCTGCGGGCCGTTCAGAAGGACTTTGGAAGGAGATTATGATGGTGACGAAGCAGAAGCAGTGCTGCTTCATCCAACGAGTACACTTTCATTTTCAAGTGAAGCGCCGCCAGGTCAGAACGGCCCAGCATGCACGCTTGAACCCGGAGGCCTGGGACACCATGCTCGAGGGTGTGTGCTTCCTCGTTTGGGTGTTGGATGCCATGCGGGTAGCCATGACGGACGACGGTGCCGCCCCGCTCTTTTCCTCAGACGTGCTTCGGGTTGCCTTCCAGAAAGTTCTGGAAGGGCTACCCGACTTGTATTTCGGACATAGCGATTTTTTGCATTTCTGATCGTCCTCAAAATATCTTGTCCTGCTGTGCCATCAGGGACTACTCGGGCGAAGCGGAGAAGCACAGCATGCTCAGGCTGCCGGATGTGAAACCCCAGGATTGCTCTATGTGGTCGGACCACTTGCCAAAAGATCCGGCCAAAAGCGCCCTCAAAGACTGCAAGGAGCAGATTTCAAAGCTCGACCAGGAATCGATTCAGAAGCAGTTTGAGGCTGACTGCTACAAGCTGAGCTTCGACCTCTCCTCCTTCGCGAACCATGTTGAGGCCCTGGGTAAGAACAAGCGAACCGCCCAGATCGCGAAGGTTTGCCATGTGCGAGCCGAGATGAAGCGAGGATCGAACTCCGTTGTGGACTTCATCGAGAAGATGTGCCCCCACCACATTTCCCTCTACAGCGACAGGGACACCTCCGAGAACATCAAGAAGGCCAGTATCCAAAGCCCCTCCCCATACCAGGAGTCTCTCATATAAACTCAACCCCTGTCTCTCTGCCTTTCTCTCTCTCGCTCTCTCACTCGCTGTCGCTCTCACTCTCACTTCTCACTCTCACTTCCCACTCTCACGCTCACTCTCTCTCTGTCTCTCTCTTTGTCGCTCTCTCTGTCTGTGCCAGTGGATGAATGGCACGCGGCCGGATGCTGTCATTGTCTGGGCCGACCTCACGAAGTTCGGGAGAGTCTCGAATGACACGGTCAATGATCTCGCTGAGCTCATGAGGGGTGTGTTGCAGCATAGCCCGCAGCGGTCTGTCGGCATCATCATCGTGCCGGTGCTTGCTTCCGCAAAGGTTGCCAATGGCATTCGAGGGGAAATTCGGTTGCTAGGTTGCAGCTATTCCTTCTGAAATATGGAGCAGAACCACATAAATGCATCATCAATCCATCTACCTTTCAGGCGCTTGGAAGACAAGCTGGATGCCAAGTTCCTGGACAATGTTGCTGTCAACATTCGTATGGCAGAGCCCCACAACAACAAAAAGCATGCCCTCCTCTATCCTGCTTTGGTGTGTTGGAGTGGAGATGAGAACCTCTTTAAGACCTCCAAGCTGGTGGTCGAGAGGCTAACATCAACACTAGGGAAGTCTCTCTCCCTCTCTGTCTCTATCTCTCTCTCTCTCTCTCTCTGTCTCTCGCTCTCGCTCTTTCTCTCTCTCCGTCTGTGTTCTTGCCTACAGTTATTCTTAAAGTTCTGATACTTCGGGCCAGGTGCAACCGGCAGCCCATCGAATGGATGTTGGAACGAGATTACAAGGTCCCGACCGTCGGGAAGAACGCCACGCCCAGCACGCGAGAGGACCTGGACAGGCCAGTGTTTCTTCTATCTATCGAGACTAGCGGTTTCTCACTTGCTTGACATGATTTGGAGGTCCCACTCGGAAGCTCAAGAGGCGGCCCAACATTTGGGTGGTTTGCACATGCCGCAAGTGGTGCTGCAAGCGATACTGAAGGCACCTTACCTGAAGTCCCAACCTCAACCCTGAGCCTTAAACCCTGAAGCCCGAACTGCCTAACCCGGTGCAAACCCTTAACCTTCCCCGCCCACAACTTGATTCCCAGAACCAATCGCGAGTACTGCAATCCCTCGACCGTACATCCAAAGCTTTGTGCCCTGACTTGTCTCAGACAGCCTAAAGCCGATTCGGTCCCTGATTAGGATGCTGATGGTTTGAGCAACCAGAGCAAAATCGCTTGCATCAATGTCACACCCTACGATGGGGCCTTGGAAAAGGCCTGCCTTCAGTCCCCGAGCCAAAGCGGGCCCAGGACCAATGCTGGTTCGGGGTGGAGCCATGTGTTGTTGCTGTGTTGCAACAGTGGCTAATTTTGCAATCCAGACTAATGCTTCCTATCTGGGCCCCTGGGAGCCCCGCTCAGTAGCACGGCTGCAGATCGCGATGGATGATAGACTTGCCTCATGTTGGTTGAGAGTCTAGGGATTCGGGGTTAAGGGGTTTAGGATTCAGGGGTTTAAGGTTTAAGATTCAGGGGTCTAGGGTAAGGTTTTAGCGATTACTGTGCAAGAATGCAATGGACTAACGTATCGCATCTTATTTGGGCCCTCTGGAGCACCATCTTAATCATCACCCCCTGATTGGGGTTAGGATGTTCGGGGCTTCCTTCCAGGATCCTTTGCTACTCCGTCGGTGATGATCACACGATCGTGAAGTACTCGGAGAGGCTGCTGGCACAGTATCTCTTGGAGGATGCACTGATGCACTATTCCTGATGTAACTACATACATTGTGCAGTGTGGTTTACTTTCAGGGTGGTGTACTTTCAGGCCCTGGAGTTTAAAGCATCGTGTCAGGATTGGAAGGCGGGCAACAACCTGATCGGGGCTGCAACCTTCAAGCCTGAACCCGCAGCAGCAGAAGCCTCCGACTCCCCTGCTGTCAACCAGCCGACCTTTAATCTCTGCGTCGTCACCGAGACCCCCGAGGGCAACATGGCCATCGCCTTGCCGCCCGGCATCCGCAGCAAATGGTCCGAGGACTCGGCACGGAAGGAGGAGTGGGCCCAGGTCTTGAAAAAGTTTGATGCATCGCAACTAGTCAACATATTAACTCTATCCATCAATCACGTTGTTTAATTCTGTATGTTGAAGCACACCTCTCAGCTTAATCTTGAAGCTTATCCAAGGGTGCACACAACCAGCTCTGCTGCCTCTGCTTCCACGGCGACAACTCCAGCAGCAGACTCAGCTGCTCCGACAAGCAGCCCTGACCCTGATGATCCCTGGGGCGCCGAGCCGCAGACGGTAGAAGATTTGGATGCCCGATACGACACGGCCCACAGCTTCCCCGGCCGCAACTCCTCCACGATCCTCCGGATCACGCCGAGCTTGGAAAAATCACAATCCGAGCCGAAGCTGTGTGCTGAGAATCAGCAGTTCAAGCTCTTCTTGGTTACCGGGCTCAATTCTTAAGCTTACGGCTCTTCTGTGTGAGGGAATGACGATTTTGGCAAGACGATTTGTGCTAGCTCAGACAATATAAGCATTGCGTTCCACAACTTAAACCCTGAAAGCCAAGCCCCAACAAAACCGTCGAAACCACTACTAACTAGATGCCGGAAATCGCTTAAATTAAACCATCGAAATCCCAAACCCTAAACCCCCCGAAATACGAATCACCAAACCCTTCGAGACCACTTTATGGTAGATCCTTGAAACCATCCAAACCCAAAGCCCCTAAACCCCTTAATCCCTAGAAACCACATGCGATCTGAGATTGCCAATGCCGATGTGACCATCCCCAAGACCGAGTACCAGATCGCCCATGATCGGGCATCCTTTCTCGCCGGCCCGAAGGTGCAAAAGTTGATGGAGCAGGGAGGCAGGACCAGGAGAGAGAGAGAGAGAGAGAGAGAGAGAGAGAGAGAGAGAGAGAGAGAGAGAGAGAGATGAAGGGCGAGGTGTGTGTGCCTTTCCGATTGTGATTGAAAATCATTCGCTTGCTATCATCGCAGAGTCTGGGGACCAAGACGATTTCATAAAGGCATTTGGTAGCTAGAGCAACCTTGTTCAGAATGAACAGGGAGGATCGTGCCAATGACCTCATGGACTTCCTTATGGCCTCTCACAGCAACATGCCAGCAGCCCCGTTGCATGCTGCAGAAGCTGCCTCGTCCGCCAGTCCCACTCATCCTCGCCTGACGAGATCGTCTACGCCCCCAACCCAACCGTGAAAAGGCAGCTCTCTCTCGAGTCTGACACTACTCAGGTTCTGGGAGGGCCTTACAGACGGGGGGCTACAATCGACTCGAATATGGGCCTCACGCCGCCGACAACTGCACGAAAGCCGCCTGCTCCTGCTTGCCTTGAGTCAAGCCCAGCCGCAAGCATCCCGGAGAAAGCCGACGAGAGCTTGAAGTCTGAGATTGACAAGGTTTCAAAGCAGCTGGAGACGGAGCTCAAGTTGGAGAAGAAGTCGGGCAAGGGCGAGCCCGAGGATGACATGGAAGGGAACAAGGATGAAGGGAACAATCCCAAGCCGAAGAAGAAGGCCAAGACGGCTGAGGAGACGGACACAATCATATCTTGTCGTTGTGGGATTGATAGGTTCAGCTTCCGGAGCCTGAGGATAGAAGTTTAACTCTAAGCTATGCCGAAACCCTACCCCGTAAAAGGTAACCCTGAGTGCCACCGCAGCCAATAGCCCCTCAAGCTTAACTTAGTGACACCAGGCTCCTTAAAACGAAGCCTTCAGGTCTATATAATATGTAGATCGCATAAAGGCTAGTCGCTTCTCACTAAGTAAGTAGCATGTTATCTCTTGTTGGTGGTCCCCGTTAGTAAGTGCATCCCGATCATGCATTCTATGAGGAAAAGTAGCAACCGCAGCAGCAAATACAAAAATGAAAACACAGCAATACCACCACCACTGCCGCCACCACCACCACCACCACCACCACCACTTCCACCCACCGCCGCCACGTCCACCCACCGCCGCCACGTCCACCGCCAGAGCCAACAACAGCATCAACAACAACAACAAGCACAATAACAACTGCAACCACAATAACTACTACTACTACTACTACTACTACTACTACTACTACTACTACTACTACTACTACTACTACTACTACTACTACTACTACTACTACTATGACTACTACTACTACTACTACTACTACTACTACTACTACTACTACTACTATACTACTACTACGTACTAGTACTAGTACTAGTACTAGTACTACTAGTATAGTATAGTACTAGTACTAGTACTAGTACTAGACTACTACTACTACTACTACTACTACTACTACTACTTCTACTACTACTACTACTACTACTACTACTACTACTACTACTACTACTACTACTACTACTACTACTACTACTGCTACTGCTACTGCTACCCCCAGTCTCTCATCTAGTCTTAGTCATGAAAAGTCTTAGTACTAGGACTCGTATGACGACGAGCATCATGATCAGCTGCAACAGCAGTATTCGTGACCATAAGACCGTCGTATGAAAGGGTCACCCAACCTTAAAAAGCCGGAAGAAGCAACGAATGTAGGACTCTGATTCCAAAGCCTCAATCAGTCATCAATACGACGACTCTGTAGTACTGTCACTACTCGCCGAACTCCATAATGTATAATCCTATCCCCCCCTGCTTCAGGAGCTGGGGCCAGCCTCTCTCGGGAGCATGGTGAAGGCAGCCTGTGCTACCTCGGCCGACAAGAAAAACGTCATGTTTCCGCCGGGCTGGAAGACAAAGAAGGTTTGCCCCCATGGTTCGGAGAAGCCCGTCGCTTCCCAGAACACAGAGCCCCTCGATTCCCGCGATGGTTCGGAGAACAGACAGCCCCTCGATTCCCACGATGGTTCGGAGAACCCGGTCGCTTCCCAGAACAGACAGCCCCTCGATTCTCACGATGGTTCGGAGAACCCGGTCGCTTGCCAGTCCCAAGACAAGGAGGGCGGCCAAAGTGGTTCCTCCAACCAGAAGCCAGGACCCAAGGCTAAGGGTAAGGCTAAGGCTAAGGCTGCGGGCACGAAGGAGAAGAAGGGCAAGAACAAAATCCAACCATCCGCGGAGCCAGCCAACAGCAAGTCCGAGGACAAGCCGAAGGCCCCCAGAAAAGAAACGGCGCTTACCACCGGTTGGAAGGACTTCTGTGCCGACTACATGAAGAAGAATAAGAACACAGGCAAGAAGTTGGGCCAGCTGATGAAAGAAGCCAGCGAGCAGTGGAGCTCCCAGTTGCTTTGTTCGCCATTTCCTAATAAACCACTTAGACTTCCTTCGTGAGTTTAGCAGAACCAGTGAAACAGACTCGGAATTTCGACCAGTAGCAGCAGTAGAGTAGTAGCACCAGGACCACTACCAGTAAGTAGCAGTAGTAGTAGTAGTAGTAATAATAATAATAATGACAATAATAAAAGTACTAGTAGTAGCAGTAATAGTACCACCACCACCACCACCACCACCACCACCACCTCCACCACCACCACCACTACTACTAGTACTACTACTACTACTACTACTACTACTACTACTACTACTACTCTCTACTACTACTACTACTACTACTACTACTACTACTACTACTACTTTACTACTGGTCCTGGTGCTACTCTCTACTGCTGCTACTGCTCTACTGCTGCTACTACTTATGGTCATAACTAGACTATTACTACTCCTACTCCCACTCCCACAACAAATCCTACTGTAACTCCTTGACTGCTACTCCTATTCCTTCTCGTGCTGCTGCTGCTTATTATGGTGTTTGTATTGAGTAGTTTATCCCCTTGTCTTAAACCTTCTATCCGTTGAGGTGGAAGACGCACCCATTGCGAACTGGTGCCATGAAAGGGCTTTCGATGGCCGAGCTAAAGCGCCGTCGATGGGCCTAGACTCCTAGACTAGGTTACTAGGCCTATGTTTGGGCGATTTTGCGAAACGCCAATGGCCACAGCCCTGGGAGTTACAAGAGTTGCCTCAACATGGTTTCGTACAAGTAAAGATGATTTGTGCTTTCAGGGCCTCGGTCTACGGTGAAGTATCCGGTGAGGGGTGCCGGTGATGAGACAATCCGCTCGTGAGGATGAAAAAATGTGCTGGGGCTCAGGTCGTGCTGCTTGGATTTGCATCGGCTTCTGCGCTTATCCAAATTCGGACGGATGCTGTGGTCTTACATGCTACCCAATGATGCTCGGAGCTTTGCTTCGTCTTCTTTCACGGTACTTGAGGAATCTCATCGGCAAGTGCGTTGGAGAGACCATTATGTACGATTGCCATGGTGCACCGAATCGGACCCCACCTTGCTGGCATGGTATATGCTAGATTCCCGGCTAGCTATCTAAATTCCTGAAATCATTTTTATTCCAAATACAGCTCTGATACCTAGGACGACAGAATGCCTAGTAGTTTATTCGAGCAATTCATTGCAGCATGTGCTAAGTTACTGTTGGCTACCACTATGCTAGCTGCTGCTGCCGATGCCTTCTTACTCGTCAATATTAATTCATCACGAGGGAGCTGAAGCTTCTGAGTTATCGACAGCACATGCAATGAAGATCACCGATGCCTGCGACAGAAACGTGAAAGATGCTGTGCGGGAAGGGGTTGTGTCTCTGGGTCGCAGGCTTCTCAACTCCGAATCGATGGAATACGTGTGCAGGGTTTTTTGCTTGATCATATTAGCCGGCAGGATTGGGCTTTATATTGATTTGTAAGTTCTGCAGACTGCACTGAGCCGAAGTCCTAAAACCCAGATCCCTGAACAGTTTACACTATAACACAAAGCAACCTTAGCTTTGCCCTAGGTTCCCTCGTGAAGCCCTAAACCCTTCAAACCCGAAGTCGAACCCTTCCAGCACAAAGGTAGGCGGGAGCTCGGGGGATGATGAGACTTTAGGCTTTATGATTGTTCTCCTTGGATTCGGAAGCCCTGAGTCCTACACCCGATGCAACAATCCCGCCTTGCTAAATAAATCATCTGAGTCGATAAAGACATCACAGCCAAACCTCGAAAGCTTAATACGTCCCTGCTTCAATCTCAACCACAAACCTACTGTACCGGCAGGCCCTACGAAAGACGCGACGAACATCGTGTGCGCCTGGAAGAGCGATCTTGATCCTGTGGTTTTCGAAACGACCGAGGGCAACAGCAGGAGGCTCAAGGATGCCGAGATCGCCACAATGAGGTTTCTTGGCTTGGTTACTTTTTTTTATCAAATCAATGTTCCTCTTAAGCTTCGGTTGTGGTTTCAAGAGGTCGCTCATCGAAGAGATGGAGGGCAATGGTGTGGTCGACCTGACCATAAACTCCCACGACATGGAGCGAGCCGATGAAGGAGGCTGATGCTCGAAACTTTTGTATAGGATCCCTGTTTAAGTTTGCTTTTAACAAGCTATCAGCTAGCAGGGGAGGACGACGTCTTCTGCATCAGCCCCACGGACGACATGCCGCCTTTGGTCTTCAAGTTCACCCGGAACACCGGCAATGGCCTGAAGTTCACGAACACGGCTAGCTACTTCGACAACAAAAGCCTCGTTGGCAGCGAGAAGCTGCGCATGGTGTGGAGGGTCAGCTTTAATGCTGATGAACAGGAGACATGCCTGCACGTAAACCCTGAACCTAAACCCTAAACCCCTAAAACCTTAAGCCTAAGTTGCTAAAACCCAAATCTAGCGAAACCTTAGAGATTTGCCCGACAGGAGCTGTCACCGAAGAAGCCGCTCTACTTCCTGAAGGAGGACTGTGCTTTGAAGAAGCAACAGGTGGTGCGGCTGCTGTGAAGCTGTTTGCGCTTTCAAGAAGCAGTGGTGCAGCTGCTGTGAAGCTGTGGGCTGTGCTTTCAAGAAGCGGTGGTGCAGCTGTTGTCAGGCTGTGGAATGTGACTGTAAGACGTACTCGTGCTGCTGATGGCATGCGACCTAACTTATGATGTATGCTTAGCCCTGAGCCTGATCCTAGCTCCACCGCTGGTGACATTTTGCTATCGTCATCTTAGCACAGCACAAAGTGCTTCAAAGACCGGACCGGACCCTGGAGCAACTGTCGGTCCTCGAAAATCATCGGTCGGAAGCCGCAGCTGCCGTGTTTGCTGCTGCTGGTGTGCTGGGCAACTGGAGTGGGAGGGCTTATTCGCAAACCTCAAAGCCCCAGAAGCCCTTAATAAATCATAAAGCCCAGAACGAAGCAATTAGGGTAATGATTCGGGTACCACGAGGCCATAACTGAGCTCGCAATTCTCTAGAGACCGAACTGCAGTAAGAAAGTAAAGTATTGCAAAAATCGAGTCATAACCCTCACGCCCTGAAACCTCCAGCCGTTTCCTATCCCTCGAAAAGGAAGCCCTAAACCAACGAGCCGACCTACTTTCTACGTGGATATGATGTATGTATGTATGTATCTATGTATTATATATATATATATATATATGTAACAATTAATTTTATTCCCTGTGTCTCTCTCCATGTGTATATATATACACATATATATACATATACATATACATATACATATACATATACATATACATATACATATACATATACATGGGTATGCTGCTTTATGAAGATACATTACAGGGTTTAGGTTGTGGGGTGGTTCGGTTCAGACCCTAAACCTTATCCCTAAACCGCAGCTGTTTGAGCTTGCTTCGGGAGTCAGGCGATGCCCAGTTTTTCCGACATCTTGAGCATCATTATTTTTGGTGCATGTGTGTATAGCATCATGAGCATACTATGAGCATTGAGCATCATGGGCATCCCCAGCATATTGTTGACAGTCTACATGAGCGGCTTTTTCAAGCCAAGAACAGCAGGACCAGACGCAAACACCAGAGGACCAGATCCAACTAATGTGTCATCAGGGCTGTGAGCAACCACAGGCGCCATTGATCATGCATGAGATCAACCGGCATGCAAGGCCGAGAATCCACCGGGAACATGGCGACAACAACCTGCTCACTTCCACTGACGGTGGCTGTGCTCACATGGGAGTTCCAGCCGAGGGCGTCAAGAAGATGAAAGGGAACCCCGAGCCAAAGGTCTCCAGTGGCATCAGTCGGGCCAAACAATGTTAGGAGGTTCCCGTGGCGCTGAACGTGAATCCTAGGCACGTGGGACGCAAGGGGGATCAGGCTGGTTACCCGAAGGTCCTCTTCCTCAGGCAGAGCAACGATGCAAGTCCCGAAGCTACTAGTGGAGAGGAGGCGCTGGCCCGTGGTGGCAAATATGCCAAGATCACAGGGTCCTTCGTGCATGTCAAAGACCCGTAAAAGCTGTGACCATGTGCGGGGTGAGTCCCCATCCACAATGTAACAAGCTGGCTGTGTCAAAACCACACAACAACCCTTCTGAGAGCCGTGGCCACGGATGAAGCCGCCACAATTGAGTAGCAGGGAGTCTGAGGAGCGCAGGACAAGTTCCTCCTCTATCAGAGACCAGGGCACCTCACGCAGCTGTGGTGGTTGCAGGGCCTGAATATCGCACCCCAGCGTTGCACTCAACTGATCCATACTGAGGCCAGGTGGCACCTGGAGGGCAATCCCGGAAGGCTTGCGAGGGCACAAGACTCGAACCTGCTGAAAAGCCTGTGGCACCTGGCGCTCACTGAGCTGCTCCGGTGCGTGACGCTGGAGAGCCTCAAAGACCTCTGGCGCTTGGTCGCGCGAACACATCACCCAGGCATCTTTAACTGGTATCAGCAGGGCATTGCCTCCATGTATCCGCTGCTTGAGGCACCACTGCACAGCCTGTGCCATCTCCGGTGCATTCTGAAATTGCAGAACACGGCATGCCTGCGCCAACAATGCAGCAGCATGTGGGACCGCAATGGCATTGCCCAGTAGACGCATCTGAACTCGCATGTCGTTGGGGAGCCACAAGGGCAGCACTGCACCATGTACGGCTGCAGTTTCAAGGCCAGAGAAGAAACGGAGGCCATCTGGGGCTTGGAACAGGCAGCCAAGGAGCCCCTGAAACTCCAGCATACGCTTCGGGAGCTCGTGCTGAAACTGGTACTGTGCTACAAACACGCCTGCACAATCCTTGGGGCCTTTGATGCGAAAATTCTCCGGCGACGGTGGCGCAGTGCCGGCACGCCGTGGAGTGGGGACAAGCCAGGGGTCCATATAAGCCTTCATCACTGGCGGGCTGAGCAGGCATGATTCCCGCAGAGCCGGTGGCAGGACGAAAGGAATGCGGGCGAGGGCAAGGGACTGCATCTGCACATGAGCCCAACACCCTGGGTCCACAGCCTGCATGTTCACCGCTTCCGGTCTGCACAGGAGCATAAGAAACCGATTGCGCTGTCCCGGCAGAACATCACGCAAGTTTGCTTGCGCCTGCCAACACACACTATACCCGCACTGTTGCCATGCCTGAATGACCTGCGGGAAATGCACGTGCTGAGGGAAATGCTCGACCTGTTCCAGCAACACAATTGGTATAGCAAAAGCTGCTGCAAGGTCAGCAATCCTAAGCAGCAACTGTCCATCTGGGCTCTCAAGGCCAAAACCACTCCCTGCCCGAGACCAAGGCTGGCACGGTGCTGACACACAAAAGGCATTAACCGGAGCCCTTCCTAACACCCTAACCCACCAACCGTGCTGCACGTCAGCACTTAAGTGAAAGGTTGTCGAAGGGTCCTCAGGCAGCTGGTCCAGATCATGCGGGCCGCACACATTGGTCCGACCGTGGTTGTGGCATTGCTGCATTTCCCAGCAGCTCGGGTCATTGTCAATGGACCACCGCACATGTACTGGGATCCCTTGGCGATGCAAGATGTAGCTGGCTTGGGTCCAACCTGCGAAGCCTCCACTAAAGAACTCCGCAACTTGCAAAGACTCTCCAGACAAGACCGTAACCGCGGAAACAACAGCAGTGTCGGGCCCTGTGCAATCCAGTATGGCTTCATGCTGTGCCCTACAAAGTATGGCCTGCAATATCTTCAGGGGGCCGTGTTGTGCCCTTGCCATATTCCAGTCCGCAGCTCTGAGAAACAGAAGCACCTTTTGTGAAGATTCGCTCTCGACACTGGCATCACCACGAAGCTTCGCTCGCACTAAAACCCTGGAGTCCTGAAGAACTGGCTCATCATACGGCTCGGCAATCAGGTTCACAGTGCGGCCGGCTGGCAGCAAAGACAAATCTTGACAAATCTGACCCAACCTTCGCCACTCCAACAAATCCAGAAATGGAACAGAATCTGAAGACATCGTCGTCATGGCCCGATCGGTACCCCAAAATGGGGCTACGGCTTCGCCTCGTGTAGGCTCGGGCCCAGAAGCTCCTAAACCCTCAACCCTCAACCCTAAACCCTCAACCCTCAACCCTAAACCCTAAACCCTCAACCCTAAACCCTAAACCCTAAACCCTAAACCCTCAACCCTAAACCCTAAACCCTAAACCCTATAAACCCTAAACCCTAAACCCTAAACCCTAAACCGCAGCCCAGGGCGCACCGACCTTCGTCTGTCTTTGAACTTCGAAGGCGCCGTGGGGAAGTGCGAGGCAGAGGCGATCGCCTGACCCAACGTCCTCGGAAAGGAGCTATAGGGGTCTGATAAACGGGTATACATATATACACACATAATATGTATATGTATATATATATATATATATATATACACACACACAATGATATACATGTCCGTGCTACGAAGAACTGATTATGTAGAAGTTTCTTACTTACAACCGGATGGGGTTTCGGGTTCAGTTGGCGAAACTAGTAGAACTTGAAGCATCGACAGGCTTCTCTAAGTGCAGAACCATTGTTGCAATGTGTTGGTGCGTGTTCATGCAAGCAACCATCAAGGATAAAGGCCGTGTTTGTCTCGTGTGCACTGTTATGACGGTTCTGCCTCGGGGCTTGAACCTGCTCCATCATGCACGTTGCTAGGGTGCGAACACGCAGGCTCTGTGTATATGGGTGGTTGTCGAAATTAGGGTCCTTTTTTGGGTCCCTATAATTTTGTACGGCACCTTCTATTTAGAGTACCCAAAAAGGGACCCCAATTTTGACAACCACCCATATGACACAATCCATCATTCCGGCGTCATGCGAGCGACCCTGAAGTCGGCACTGTCTTGGCAAAACATCTCGCACCACGGGCAGTTGTACAAAAGAGTTCGTCATATTAGCTTCGGACACCTTGCGACCGCTGTGCTTGTGCGGCTTGTGAAAGCAGTGTGTAATGCACTCGAATCCGGCTTTCTGCATCGGCATCCTCAACTTACGGTCTAGGATTTGAGGTTTGCACTCTGAGGAGTACGGCTCTGAAGCTTGACAGTTTGGGGCACACTTCCCTGAAAACATGTAAACCCTGAACTTTCAAAACCCTAAACTCGTGGTCCAAGGAGTCATGTGTTCCTCTGGTGGTCCCCTGTGTCTGAGCCCAGGCGCTGTTGTAGTGCGACCTCTACGTAGTTCATGGATCGTCGCAATGCTCCTGTACGTTCGGTGCTTGAAGTTGAGTGTTCTTCGAGACTTACGGTTTAGGGTTTAGGTTTTAGGGTATAGGCTTTAGGGCTTAGGGCTTTCAGTTCCCGTCAACTACGGTATATATCAATGGCTTTGAGCTTTTTGCAGCTTCGGCTGCCCGGGCTTGTCGGGATTGGGATTTCGGCTTTCCAGGGATGGAATCTATGTAGAGCCCACAACCCCTTCGGCAATACTGATCCGGCCCTTAAAGTTAAAGAAAGAACGTGGGGCGAAGCCCTCTGAGTTTCGCCCTGGTATTAGGGGGGACTTCCAGATTCCATTGAAGAAAATGTCAAAATACTCCCTTCTTCAATAATCGGGCCCATTAAAGTTCTAAGTTTCCAAAATTGGCAGAATATATATCAAATATGTAAAGCCAACAAGCTGAAAGCTCTCCCATCGGCTACCTAAGTATACTAAGTATACTATCTTAAAATCAAAATATAGTATTCTAGAGGCCTTAATAATTAGAATAGGGTCTTGGGCCCTACTACTTAGGAGTAGTTAAGTCTTCCATCGCCGCCCCTCGCATCCTGAAACTCCGGCTTTTGACATTTCAAGAAAAGGCCCCCTCGATAACAATTTCATGATAATTTCATAAACCAATATGTCGGGTTCTTGAGGGGTCGGGGCGCAGTATTCCAGGATCCTTGTCATCCTACAACCTACACCTTAAACCCGAACAGCGTGTGTGTTAACGCCCCTGATTTTACCAAACTCCTGGGCCGGCTGAAGCCCGGCAAACCATGAAGCCCCGATGATCAGATCCTGGTCCCACTTATGAGGTCAGAGGACTTGGGAAGCAGGCATATGTAGGTCAACTGCATATTATATACCTGCTTGCAATCGCATTTCAGACACGTTTTGCCCTAGTCACTCAGTGCGGCGCTCGATGCTTGAAGTGCGTGGTCTCAAACCCTGAGTAGCTAGTAATTAGTACCATCCGCAGGGTGTCTGCTCAGCAATAAACTCTAACTCTAACATCACCCGAAACCCTGCCCCTGTAAAGACAATCGAGAATCGAGAACCTCCAAACCCGCAGCCCTAAAGTCTTGTCATCACGGACCCCATAACAACCACATGAACAAAGGACAGCCTTCGGTGGCTACCAAGAGGTTCTGCTCCAAGTTTTCCTCCAAAGCAGCTCCGGTGCGTTACAAGCTTTACAAGGGTTCGTAAGTTGGGTACTGCCCCCACCCGGTGACAGTCTATGTTAGGGGCCATATGAAAGGCTACATATATGCATATACAGGTATGTATGTGTGTATATACTTATATATGTCTGCACAAAAAATATGATCCAAGTGTTAAGCAGTGGGGTCAGTATCCCATCTGTCAGGGTGTGATCAGCGTTCTCTTAGGGACGTTTTTCCTGTGATTCAGGTATCGAATGCAGGGCTTAATATAGGGGCCTTACCCAGCACGATGCTGTTTTCTGTTTCTGCCAGTAAACTACCGAAGCCCTGCACGATAGGCCCTACAAACCCCGTTGACGTAGGCTGGCATACTGCTGGTAAGGACCAAGTGGCTGAGCACCCCAGCCCACAAAAGCTCAAATAAGCTTCTACTCATGATAAGGGTTGTAGACTCCAGAAAACGAACCCTCTACTCATGGTGTGGATTTTCCATGCCCCCCAAAGTTGAAACTTCCACGTGTATACTCAAAAAAGATGAAGGCACGACGTGAGGAAAGCTGGCTCCCGAGGGAAAGGCGCGAGACTAGCTTCGAGAATTCGCAAAACAGAGGTCACCCACCCACCCTAGAGGAGCCCTTAAAGGATCCCTTAATGGAGTTTATTAAAGGATCCCTTAATGGAGCCCTTAAAGGAGCCCAGAAGGGAGCCCGTAAGAAATCCCCAAGAAGCCGAGGCGCTAGGGCCGACTTCAAGGCCGTGTCGCTCTGGTGGCTGTCGGCCGGAGAATGGCCGTGGAGGCCTGCTATAAGTTGACTCTATAAAGGGTTTAGGGGTTAGGGTTTAGAGTTTCCGAAGGCAAGGGGTACCTGATTTTGGGGTCCTTGAAATAAGCATGCTACTATTTAGTGTACTAGATTAGGGTCCTCTGTTTTCGGAAACCCACCAACCCGACTCTGACACACCCCAAGCGCCTTAAGTACCTCGATGGGCAAAACCTTGCCCAAACCAAAACAGGTTTTCCTACTATAGCAACCCTATACTCCACTATATCATAAGTACGTAGGACCCTTCGAGTCAGTGGAGGCGGCGTGAAAATCAATCGCCTCTATAGGGATTCATGAGATGGCTTTGTAAAGCTTCAAAAGGCTTTTAAGCGATGAGGCTTTGCATAGGGTCTTACCGGGTTCTGCAGGGGTTCCTGTGAGGCGTCCTTTGAAGGTTGTATAAGGTTTTGCAGTTCTGCGCTTGCGGGTCTGGAGTCGGGATTCAGGTTCAGGGCGTTGCAGGTCTGTTTGATCATAGCTTGAAAACATCCAAGGGTAAAAGGAAGGACCCTTAATAAGGACCCCTAGGTATATACCCTTAATATAGCTATTATATACCCCTTATATAGCCCATTATAGGGTAGGGGTCCCCATTAAGGGTCCCTCCTTTTCCCTTTGAAAACAACAGCGAGCTGCTGCTTCTAGACTTGAAGGCCTGCGGTTGAAGGTGTGATGATGATGCTGTGCAGCCTCATAACAAGATTGCGCTAAACGTTCAGAAAGACGATACTTCGGCAACCCCGAGAAAACAGAGCCCTGAGTCCTAACCCCTAAGCTCTAAAGCCTATATACCAAATGAGCCTGATTCCCTCAGCCCCTAGCCCTAACCCGAAACTCCTAAGCCCAGAGCCCTTACTACCCCCCCCCTTCCCTAAGCCCTATCTCACATGACACTGATGCCCTCAACCCCTACGGTTGATGATATAAATCCTGCATGACCTTAAGGACCCTAAACTATGGGAATTATGGTATATTCCCTATTATGGGTCATGCAGGATTTATATCATCAACCCCTAGCTCCCCCCCCCCCCGGAGGCCTCCGTCGGTGCTGTCCTTCGAAGGCACGGGTCCCAAACTCAGCGGCTGAGGCGGCTTCCGGCTCATCTTTCGCAGATCCGCCTTTGAAGGATTGGGCTTGCCAGTGGCTCTTGTGGGAGGGTTTATACGTGGGTGTATATGAGGGCTTACGATATGTAATCCATGGGCTTCCTTATATAAAGTTTGACTCTACAGAGCCTTACTTTTGGGCAGTTTGGGGTCTGTCCGTAGTTGTTGGGAGTTTGAGGCCTTTGCGCGCTGGTGCCTACTGGAAGCTCTAGGATGTTATGGGTTTTGGGGGGTCAAGAAAGGCCTCTTCTTGGAGGGTCATTTGTAGTTATAAGTGGCGTTATAAGTAGGGCAACCAGAAGTATAACCCATGCTGGGGGGACTTAAAAGCCGCTGATATAACTACCCATGACCCATGAACCGTTTAGCCAGCACTAGGGGAACTCTGGGGTTCTGGGCTTAGAGACCCTGAACTCTGAACGCTGACCCTAAAATCCGAACAGAGCCCCATAAACACTAAACCCTGAACCCGAAACCCTCTCCCGAACCCTGTATATAAATCCTAAACCCCTAGAGCCCTGAATATCCTCTATCCCAGAATTTTACGGGTTTTAGCGTCTCCCAGACCCAACCCTTAATCCGTAAAGCCCTGGCGCTGCATTGTAGGGCTTAAGGTTCTGGGTTTGAGCACCTCTGAGGCCGGCGGGCTTCAGCGTATAGGTTTAGGATTTAGGGTTTGGGGTTTGAGGTTTTGGGTTTAGGGCCGTTTAGAGCTTGCGAGTTTTGGTTGGGTTGTGAGGTTTTCTGCAAGAGAAGGTTCCTATGACTTAGGATGGCCCCTTCGCCCCCCTATTGCAGCTTGAGGTGGTCCATCTTGCTATGTCAAGATTCTAGCCCCAAACCCCCAAATTCCAAAGCCCAAATGCCTGACGTTTACGACCCGAAGTCCCAATAACCTACAGTCCCAGACTCCAAGCAAGCCAGCATAGAAACCTTCAAAACATCCTGTGCAGCTGCTATAAAGACCCTGCTCGAACCCCTACACAAACCTTATATCGAGATCTTACAAACCCTAAACCCAAAAGCCCCAACAACCCTGAACCCCGAAACCCTTAAAACCCTAAACCCCAAAAGCCCCCAACAACCCTAAACTACTAACTTAAACCCTGAAGGCCCTAAACCCAAAAGCCCCAAAAACCCTAACGCCCTAAACCCCCCAAACCCCAAACCCCTGTAGATCCCTTCATGGAACCCTTATAGGTACCCCTTTAAAGGAACTCTAAACCCCCAAAGCCCCTCAAAACACTCTACCCCTATACTGTACAGAGTCCTTATAATCGCCTTCTTAATGCCACTATATGATCTTGACCCCTTTAAAGGAACGTTATTTCAGAGTTTAGGGCTTAAGCCCTAAACCCAAACCAGCTCCCACCAGCCTGGAGAGAAGCCTGCGGCTGCTCTGGCCCCTGCGGCAGAACGCCATACCCTAAGGGTCCATGTAGTCTTAGCGTTTAGGGGTTCAGGGTTTAGGGGTTTAGGGTTTAGGGTTTAGGGTCTAGGGGTTTAGGGGTGTAGGGTTTAAGGTTTAGAGTCATATAGTATATACATTGGCCTTCATGCAGTCCCAATATACGTACTTTGGGCCCCTATGGGTACATGGACCCTTAGGGGTAGAGATCATTTGGGCTTTCTGCTTCTTTAATGGTTCCGTTGCGGCTTCTACTTAAAGGATCATGGGACTTGGTAACTAGGGTTATGGTTCGGGTAACTATACTTATACCCCCAATTAAGGTACTTTAAACCTTATTGGCTACGTGCCATGATCCTCCAAGTATAGGCCCTAAACCCTGAACGTAGGGTTCTATGAGTGGTTGAGGAGTTTCAAGCGCTGCGGGGTTCGCAACTGCTCTCTCTCTAGCCTTCCGGAAGAGTTGATTGTGTCCGTGAGGTTTACGATTTTGGGTAAAGAAGCATAGCGAATGGCAATGTAAAGGGTTTATGCAGATGCTGAGCCATCTTACAGCGTGTATTGATTTTATTGAAGGGTTGGATAGGGGTTTCTGTGAAACTCGATGATGGCTAAACTACTGAAGCGTTGATACAGGTGTATGGGCTTCATAGGGCGGCAGAGGATCTCTTTGACGGGGACTGGGCACAGTTATTTGATGTGTATCATGGTCTATGAGGGGTTGGCAGACCGTGCAGGGCTTTCTTTGTACAGTTCAAGTGCTGATAGCGGCTTAAATGGAATATGGAGCTTGAGGGTACTCGTACTTCACAACCAAAACACCCAAGGTCGATGTCCAGGCTTGCTTTGGGGGTTTAGGGTAAAGTTTAGGGTTTGCGGCGTCACATTGGTAACCTCCACGACAACAGCGATAAAGAGGCCATGAGGAACGGGTGCCGTCTTCCCAAAGCCTCAAGCGTAAGCGTACAAAGCCTAAAGCCTCACCGTCACCCCCGTGGGCCTGAAAACCAAGCCCTTGCGTGGAGGTTCATGGGTAGTATAAGTGGGGTTATAAGTCCCCGAATATGGGTTACAATTATGGTTACCTTATTTATAACCCCACTTATAGCTACCCATGAACCTCCAAGTACCGTCTACCTTCTAAACCGTATTTCAAGGATGAGGCGGCTTAGTAAGTTGTGTCGTAGGGTAACTGTAGTTGTATCATGTTATGGTTGGCATGCTACCTCAAATTGCAGCCATGCCTGCAAACCGCGGCCAAAACCCTAAAGCATTCAACCGTCCACTCTACCCCAAGCCGTCCTCTGCTATCTCGGGAAGATGCCGGGCAGAATCATGCCGCCTCGCTGAAGCATCAGGGCATAGTCAGTAAAAGGTACTCGGCGACTCTGCCAACGACCCGATACCCATGAATGAAGCAATGTACCTGAAAGGATTTAAGTTTTTTCTGAAAATTTGAAAGGTAAGGGGCGGCAGCGGGCGGCTCTCGAGGTACTCACTACGCTAATGATAAGGTACTTTAAACACTGAACACCCGAATCCTGCTTATTCACTCTGCAACTCCCCGATCCTATAAATCCATATCGCGAGGGCCGAGAAGGGATAGATTCTCGTACCGGTCATAAGTCTTGATCCTATACTCAGCAAAAATCAACAAGCAAATGTGTCGCAAACCAGCAGAAGCCCGGAAACATGAAGCGGCAGCGGCACCACCCTTGGGCTCGCTATGGTGCCGTCAAGTTTGCCCTGTCTCTGCGAGGTTGCTGGCTCGTGGAATACAACTCGGAACATGAGGCTATCGCTGCGAAGACATTTCCGGCTCACAAGACCGTTATGGATTTGCTCCTATGGGTGTAAGGTATAAACGAGACAGGGAAGTGCTTACACGGATGTAACACAAGCCACAGAGCTGTGGCGATCGTAAGTTACCTGGCTCACGTGTATCCCAAAGTAACATCGGGCTTGCACATCCGAAATCCTATGAACAATACTTGGTAAGGTTAAAGGCAAAGTCCATAGCCCCAGGCAAGGTATTGCAACACCCCACATACTAAGGGCTCTGATGCTGCCGTCTGATCAAACCCCCGGTTCGTAATCCCTGCACGCGTTCTTAAACACACCGCAAAAGCAACATTAAAACACAATAAAACGATAAACTTGCAGTTGGACTGACTATTGCACATAAACCACTAGTTCTGAACCCTCAAATATACCTACAAGTAACCCTACACCCCCCTGCATGTCAGCCCGGAAGCTCGAGCGGTTCCAGGGGCTCTGTCGCTTGAGACATCATCCTTCAGCGCTCCGAGTTTAGCTGGGGTAGCTCCCGGCCCCAGACCAGGAAACCCCTGAACCCCCAAACCCCTAAACCCTAAACTCCTAAACCCCATACCCCCAAACCCCTGAACCCTAAACCCTGTAGGCTTCATGGTTTATGGCTGTGTGTGCTCCAGGCACCTTTCGATGTGCACTCCCTGGTCGGTCGGGCTTATGCGCTATATAGTATCGAAGATTGAGTGGTTAGTAACATGGAGTCTAGGGTATCGGGTTTAGGGTAAGGAAGATTGAGTAGTTGGTAGTCGTTGCCCGAAATCAGTCCCAAACAACGATCTGAAACTGAAAAAGAATGCGAGAAAACCTCATGCTGATTGATTATCTATTCAGCCTAGGAGACTCTGTACGTTTTAAAGCCAAGCTCCACACCACAAAACAGCTTGAACTAAGCATTGTCCAGTCCTGTGTTGTGCCCGCAAGCTGTCGGGAGCCGACACACCGCGAGTACATAACGGTTGAGCGTTCAGGACTTTGGGAGTTTTTGTGTCCCGGCTGTAATAGTAACCCCCAATAAACCGGATTCCCGCATCGCATCGCAAGATGGTGGAGTCTCAGGATGGATTCTTGCAGCTACTCCTGCCGAACATTCTGGACAGGTGCAAAACCGCGTGAGCTGTTAACCCAGAACCCCTTAACTGAACTCTTACCGTAATCTTTAACCCGGACCTCGAACTCCAGCATCACCTCAAGCCTAAACCCCCAAAACCGTAGCCCAGCGGCGACATCTTGCGATCCCGCGGCTCCGGATCCTTAGCTGTGGCTTAAACTTCCGGCTGGCGTCTTCATTTCAGGATTTCGCGTTTGGGTTTGAGAAACCCAAGCAGGGGTCCTCTCGTACCTACATGGGGAATACGACCCAAACTACGACAGCAATTCCTACTTTAGAGGTGCTGAGGACCCTTTGGGAATAAATCGCTTGGGGTTCGATGGTGTCATGTATTGAAAACAAGTTGTTGCCGGATGTTAATCCGCGTCAACACGAGCAGGAGTTCGTCGATTCCATTACCAGCGGCCTTACGCTTTACGATGTTGAGAAAACTACATGGGTAGACAAACAGACAGACAAACAGGTAGATGGATATCAGACAGGTAGATAGCTACCTAGCAAGGCAGGTAGCCAGACAAAATGTTCAAGTGTATCCATGGGCAAGTTAATGCACATCTCTGTCTTTATGTGTGTGTGTATGTATGTATGTATGTATGTATGTATGTATGTACATACGTACATACGTACGGTACGTATGTACCGACATATGTTTGCATGTCTGTATATATGTGTACGTATGTATGCATGCATGCCTGATTATATGTCATGCAAAGATCTGCCTGCTTAAGAATATGTCTGGATGTTCCACCACCAAGGTCTCAAAGCCTCGCCTGCTTTAGGGAACGAACCGCGCCAACCCGCAAAATGGCATCTTGCCAGCAAGCCGCTCCAAGCCTTCCAACTCACTAAGAAACCCGGATCCACCCCCCCCCCGCCCACTTGTAAACCCATGAGCAAATCAACCAGCAACTCGAAACCCCAAATTCTAATTCTAAGCACCATAAAACTGCTCGATGCCCTTCACTAAACCTTGACTCAAAGCAACAGAGGATGCGGAATATGCGTATACTGAGTGGTCCTCAAAAAAAGTGGCCCTGGTAAACCCTGCAAATGTCTCTACAGACCCACTCACACAAAACCCTAAACCCTATACCCAAAACCCCGAACCATAAAAACCCGGAACCCTCAACAATCAAGCACAAAGCCCTCGGGGCTGACAAAGCGGCGGGCTGCTCCTCTGCGACCAGCTCCGAGGAGACCTAACAAGAAAGGGGCCTTAATAATCAGAATAGGGTTTTGGGGTGCATTATACTATAGTCATAATAAGGACCCCCCCCCAAAAAAAGTTGTATATGTACTTATTGAGGCCTCTATACTAGTTCATGGTTGGGGTAGTACCGTAGGACCTATGTAAGGCCAAAGTAGATACTATTTGGGTACATGGACCTCAGGGGTATTGAACATTAGACATCTATTGAGTACATATAAACATGTAAAGTGCTACCCACACCACAAATCCTAGACCCCATAAAGAACGTGCAAGATGCTACTTCTGAGCCAATAGAACCAGAATAAAGATCAAATTATTCTTAATCACCTAAGGCTTTAGTATAACTGAAAAAGCCCAATTCCTAAGAGCAGTAAACCTACTTGTCCGGTATCGTGGAAACTACAGTTAACCCTTTTGGTTATACAGGGGTGACTAGAGAGTATACTACCCAAAAAAGGATAAATGCTACCTACTCTACTACTAGGTATATAAACATTACCCAAACTATGACGAAGATACCGGTTCGGCGTTATCGTCCAGCTGCGCTTGCCGGCCCTGACGTCGGCTTCGGCTGTGGGCAAAAGGGCTTTGGGGCTTTAAGGTCTTAAGGTCTTAGGGCTCCAGGGTTCTAGGGTTTTAGGGCTATAAGAGTTTAGGGTTTACGGCTTTTTGAGAAGTGGAAGGGTTTTGGGGGTGGGGGTTTAGAAGTTTAAGGGTTTAGGGCTCATGGTCTAGGATTTTGGCATTAGGGTTTTAGTTTTGAGAGAACGAAACTTACTGTACCCCTGTTCTGGCTTTTGGGACCTAATTCCATACTAGTAATGTATATGGACCCTCTTGGGTAGTTAATCAAGGGTCTACATTAACGGCAGCCCTGCCCTATGCCGCAAACCCTGAACGAACTACGCTCCAACAATCAACAACACCGTAATTGCTCGCAGACGCCGCTTCGAAAACAGCAGATACACAAGCCACTCCCACGAAACTCAAAGCTATAAATCAGACCCCCATCCTTGTCCCGATAATACACGCACCGCATACGAACCCTGCAAGCACCAAGTTAGAGAACAACCGTCTTACCTTGCATAATATTGACGTTTCCACCCATCTGCTACCACCCAACGGGTCCTGGTTGATGGTTTCGATCGCCTGATAAAGCTCTTCCTTGGGTTGAGGAATTTGCCAAGCTTGTCTTAAGTCTTCGCTGAAATCAATGTACTGTTGCAGATGTTCAACTCGCAACACCGACGCCAATCCCCTGGTGCCACAAACAATTAATCCGGGTGGTTAGGGTCTGGGAATCCGGGCTTCGGGTTAAGGGTCCCAGGTTGTGAATAGACTGCCTGGTGCTCTTTTTGTGCAGCTTGTGTTCCTGGGAACCTTTTCGTTGTTCGAAACGTTTGTCCCTTGCCAGTGTTGAGGAGATCATGAACCCTTGGACTGTCAAATCTTTGCAAGGTAACTAGAGATCGATTTTGGGGGATACTATAGTAGGATAATATGAGAACTGTGAGGGTGTGCCAGTAAGATTTCTTGCGATGCCTACCTTGCACCAAAACAGAGGAGCGGAGCAGAACATCCACCGCCACCAAGCCACCATTCTGACGGAGAGGGCATTGTAGTGGAATTGCGACTGCCGGTAAATCTCTTCCTTCAAAAATCCAGATTTAAGGAGTTTATGGTGTTCTGGGACTAGGGTTTCAGGGTACATGGGGTTTCTAGAGAATAAAGACAATGCGACCCCAACCAGCAGTGTAAGACCGGCGACGGCAGCGGCAAGAACAGCAATGGCAACAACTAACAGAAAGCGTGACAGGATAGCAACAAAAGAAGTAGGACAGCCACCCCCAGAAACGCCAAATATTAACAACTGCCGCATGAAGCGCATGAGTTGTATGAAGTGGTCTTGAAGTCTTGAGGTATTCCCTAAATCCGAAGCTCCTCAACAGTAGCAACACCCTTGGAGTCTTATTGTATTCTATGAGCCGTAGCACCCAAAGCCATCAGTGAAATCCAAAAGTTCAGCCCTGAACCCATCAACTGGAAGACACCAAAACTCTGATGCGACCCTGAGCCGAAGCAATGGCATTTCCAAAGTTTCAGGGTCCTTGTAGGGTTCATTATAGTAGAAGCCAGAAAGTTGGAACATGGCTTTAGGAGGATTAGTGCTAGGATCCCTTATACTTTCCCAAAAGACCATGAGGACAAAGATGTTCCAACTTTCTGGCTTCTACTATATGTTCTACTCGAAGGTTGGGGTAGGATTCCAGGGACCCTTTCAATGGTTTGTCACGGTTCTAAATAGAAGGTTGGGGTATGGTTGTCACGGCGATTTTGAGAAAGTTGGTGCCCTTCAACTGGTGCTCCTGCTGCTGCATGGTCCGCAGCATGTTGTACCTCAGCTAGATGTGGGTGTCCATGAACAACATCCTTTGTCAGTCCCTAAACGTTTTTCGGACCCAAGATTGAGGGGAGAGAGGCCGAGTGCAAGATCACCGACGAAACAATAAACACCCCGGTATCACTCCTACATAAATCTTATAAACTCTACACCCTAGCCTGTATACCCCGAACCCTAAACTCGGCAGTCCCCAATCGAAGGCACTTGATGAATCTCGGCGCGGTCTTCGAGTCGTGAACCCAGCGGCTGAGCGGGGCGATGAACTCTGCGGCCTTGTGGTAAAAGAACTAACTAAACTAAACTAACTAGAATGAGTTCAGTTTAGCTTAGTTTAGTTCAGTTTGATTTTGCGTCTCATTCTTCATGTTAATATTCTTGCAACAACTAGTGCCGAAGATATTGGTAGTATTCGTAGTATTGGTAGTCTTACTTACTATAGTACTCTTTAAGCCAAGTTACTTACGACTATTGCTACTTGGACATCACTACACTTAGTGATGGGAGAGGAGCAAGGATTTGTTGGCTGTTGATGGAATTCTACCACAGATATGCGCAGTACAGTTCTTCACCTAACATCCACACCTCCAAGAAGTCTTCAATCACAGTCTCGTGCAGTACCCGTGCCATAGCACACCTTGCCTGTTCTGCTACGTTGCCCCTGCAACCATAGCTTGAGTTTCAGCGCCTGCATTGTACGTAACCACGCGTACCACCCTTAACTTACGCACCCTAATGGCCCTAATCCCTGAAGCCACTATAGTCACTATAAACGTTAATTTTCTTTGCAAGCCCAAAAGACAACCCGCTTGCGTGGTGGGATGAAGCAACAGCTAAGATTCCCGACCAAAGCTAAGACTCTAGCTTTTGCTTTATGGTTTGGACATGAGAACCGCGTTGTGACACCACACTTCTTGCGGCACAAACAAGAAAACACTAGAGTACATCCTGAAGACCCTCTGAAGGTAAACCAACAAAGTCAGGAGATCCCACAACAGACTGGGACTGGGTGTTGATTTCGAAGTCTAGGGTGTTAAACTTCCGCCCCCAATGGCCGAAACTGCCCAGACCATGCAATGTACTACAGCTCGCACTTCGAACTAATGCTGCGCGCGATGACTCACCTATCTCCAGCTTATCTCGAGCTCTATCCCAATGTAATCTAGCAATCCCCTTCCATCTATCGCCTAGAAAGCCACATAAAACTAACAACAACAATAAACAATCCTGAGAATCCTAACAAAAACCTGTGAGACTTCGATCTTCCCGAGCCCGAAGCCTCAATGGCGCCAGATCCGTCCACGTCGATCATCTCAAAGAGCTGCTGCAAATCGACCTACGACTGCCACTGCCACGGCCACTGCAACTAGTACTAGTGATACTAGTTTACTAGTGATACAACGACTGCTACTACCGGTGGGTGGTGTGTGGGCTGGGGCGGGTGGGGTGGGTGGGTTGGGGGTGATGCTGGGGTGGCGGCGTTGTTGGGTCCCTCCTCCTGGGGATGTCTGCGACCGAGGTAGAGCGCTGCCAGGGCACGCATATGATACTATCATACATAAGGACCACAGGAAGAACATCTATTTGCGAATTCCGACTCCTATGTTAGCATGACTTCCACAAGCTCTTTGATATAATGAGTTGGTCGTCTCTCGGCAGCACGAAGGATTTCTCGTTGCCTCATCGATGTCCATGACCTCAGAATCAGACAGCCATCGGGCCTGGGGCTTTAAGCTTGAGGCTTGTAGGGCATATAGGGTTTTAGCGTTGAGTGCATTAGGGCTTTTGGACACACCCAAACATTCTACAGCTTTGGAGCTGAACTCTACGGCCTAAACCCTGTTTGGCAACGACGGCCACATGGCTGTGCTTGTGACATGTCAGGGGCTCTGGAGGGAGTGTCCTTGACGACAGGGACCTCGCCCTAAGCTCGCTAGCCCAGAGCTGGAGATGCACTAGTAATGGCGTCATGACTTGGCATGCCTTAGTGAAGGGTCATATCTCAGCCGTTGAGGATTGGCTGTCTTAGAGTACTATCAAACCCAAGAAACGAGGAATAGTACAATAGCAGCATGAGCAAGATCACAAGGCCTCCACGCAAAGGATCAGCTGCTGTAGACCCGTAGACACGTGTCGAAAATAGAAAGCCATTCGGAAAAGACTGCAAACCCCTAGCCCTGAAATCTAGATCACAAGTGTTATCAGCCAGTACAAACATTGGCGAGGCTTGACCAAGCTCTGAACATCCAACTCGGCATTCAACTAAATCCTACCGGCACTTGTTACAACCCGGTTGACAACGGGACCCCTGCATGAACCCTTAAAACTGAAAGCATCTTGTAAATTCAAAACCACAAAGCCCAAACGCTGCCAACACCTGCACCTTATCCTTAGAGCCCGAATTACTCGCCGAGAAACCTCTGAAACAGACCTATAAGCCGATATAAGAACCTCTAAGAGACCTTATAAACTCCGATGATGACACCCTCTAAACTTGTGTAAAACCCGTTATCACGCCCCTATATCAAACCATTATACACACCTATAAGACCCAATAACAATCCTCAAAACCCCTTGCCAACCAACCCTAACCCTGAAACCTCACTACTGCACACCCTCAACTCTCCAAACCTTGCACCCTGAAATCCCTAAACCTTAAACTCCCTGAACTCTCTAAACCATAAACCCTAAACTCCCTCAAACCTTAAACTCCCTCAACTCTCTAAACTCTAGACCTTAAACCCTAAACGCCCTCAACCTTAAACTCCCTAAACTCTCTAAACCCTTAACCCTACTTGGAGGTCATGGGCCTTAGTAAGTAAAGTTCTAACTAGCTTAATTGGGGTTGTAAGTATAGTTACCCTAATTATAACCCTAGTTACTAGGTCCCATGATCCTTTAAGTAGTCCCTATACATCCCCTCTTATAATAGAACCCCTATAGATCCCTTTAAAGGAGCCCTTTAAGGAACCCTAGTAATTACTAAGTCCCATGATCCCTTAAGTAAACCCCCTAAACCTTAAACTCCCTAAACTCCCTAAACCTTAAACTCCCTAAACTCCCTAAACCTTAAACTCCCCAAAACTCTCAGAGCCCTAAACCCTAAACTCCCCAAAACTCTCAGAGCCCTGGACCTTAAAGGCCCAAGTGGCCCTCAGTCGACTTTGGAACTCTTGGTCTTTCCTGGCGCCCTCTACGAGCTCTTCAAGCGTGAGCTCACCACTGCCTGATTTGGGTCGATCCCTATTTTTTAAGTTGAACTGCACCCTTTCTCCGAAAAAAGCGCTGGCATTTTGCCCTTGTCGATCCCTATTTTAGGGCTTAGGGCTTTCTTTTTTTAAATGCAGGGGCGCTTCTTTATGATGGTGGGTTTAGGTTGCAGGGTTTCACGTTTGAAAAGGATACGGGGTTATGGGTTTGTACTGCCTGATTCAAGCCTGGGGATTTTAGATTCGATGTGTAGGATGTACGGTTCAGGGCTCTTGCTGCCTAATTTGGGGCTTGGCTTGCAAGGTTTCGAGAGGTGAGAGGCTGTCAAAGGGTTAAGGAAATTTGCAGAAAACGTGCTATAGGGGCTTGGGTTTTAGATTTGGGTCTGCTGCATTGTTGTGTGGTGCTAGGTCTAGCGTTTAACATGTATCTTCTAGGGTTTAGGGTGCGAGGGATTGAACTATAGGGTTTGGGATTTACTGTCTTTTGGTTTGGGATGTTGCGCTGCAAGGCTTACTGCATCGAAGGGCTCCAAAAGATGGATGATCCCCGACTGAGAGCCCAGATCTCACTGGCCCAAAAATCAGGGGAATAAAAGTTCAAGCTTTCAGACTCGACTACCGTGTAAGAACCCCCAAAAGTTAAAAAAGCTGAGTTTACAGCCAACAAGATATATATATATATAGGGGATCCTGCATCCTACCCATAAATCCCTGGGGTTCCTTCAAAGGGATCTATAAGGGGTACTTTTAAGGGGCTCCTTTAAGGGATCTATAGGGTTTTAGGGTTTAGGGTTTAGGGTTGATGATATAAATCCTGCATGACCTTAAGGGCCCTAAACTATGGGAATCCGCCGAGGCCAGAGGCCCAGGCGTCTTGGGTCTTACCTCAGGTACCCTCCACCTAATCCCCTGCGGTCCGAATGTTTGGGGGCACCCGTTTTTTGCGTTCGTTTGCCACCCCCTTGCCCGGCTTCCCCTCATTTTACCTGATTTGTTGGCCTACCCGCCCTCTCCCAGGCCTCCTCCCCCCCCTTCCTTCCTCTTTTTTCCCCCACCACACCGCCCTCCGACTTCTTCTGCCCACCCCCGTCTCCTTTTCCTCGTCCCCGCTTTGGCTTTCCCACCAAGCTCTGAATCGAGCATTTCACGGGTGCATTGTCTTCTTTTGGTTCTCTGACCAGACCGTTTACAAGACCCTCGCCCTGCCACTGGAGAGCCGAGGCGGGCGGCGTAGCGTTAAAATTATGGTATATTGCTTATTATGGGTAATGCCCCCTCCCACTACCCCCCTAAGGGTCCTTGTGATTCGTTGCGGATCGTAATGTAAAGGTTCAAGCTTTAGGGTTTTGCATACGTGGTTTAGGGTTTCGGGTTTAGCAGGTTTGGGATTTTGGGATCTTGAAATGAAAGCCGCCCCCCTGAACGAGCAGGAGGGTTTATTGATCCGGGGCCCAGATTCAGGGCTCGAGATTAGGCCCATCTACCCTCTCATATACCCCAAACAAATACCCACAACTAATCCTCCCTAACTCCTTTCTGCAAATTCTCCCTAAACCCTCCTTCGCAGGTCCTACGGGCCATAAGGACTCTATGAAAGGGCCCTTTAAGGGGGTCCTGGGAGATTGGGAAACCCGCGTCTGAAGCTCGGGCTCCCTGGGCAGAGCGGCGGAACGGTTTTTTTTCCCTAGGTCTGGTCCGCCCCGGCTTGCTTTCCTAAGTCTGGTCCACTGGTTGTGGTTGCAAACAGCGGCAACTGCAGTCTTTGCTTCTATTTTGCATCAAGCTATTGGGGAACTAGCATTTGACGGCTCTGGTTTTGCTTTTGTTTTGCATGAAGCTATTGGGGAACTACGACTTGCGGAGTCTGATTTTGCTTGTGTTTAGCATCAAGCTGTTGGGGAACCACAAGTTGCAGGGTTCGGTTTTCTTTGTGTCTTGCATGAAGCTATTGGGGAGTTCGCATTCGCAGGGATCGATGTTGCTTGTGTTTTGCATCAAGCTATTGGGGAACTACAATTCGCAGGGTCTTCTTCTGCTTGTGTTCTGCTTCAAGCTATTAGGGATCTACAATTCGCAGGGTCTTCTTCTGCTTGTGTTTTGCATGAAGCTATTGGGGAACTACAATTTGCGGTGTGTTCTTCTGCTTGTGTTTTGCATCAAGCTAATGGGGAACTACAATTTGCGGGGTCGGCTTTGTTTGTGTTTTGCATCAATCTATTGGGGAACTACCGTTTGTAGAGTCTTTTATTGTTTGTGTTTTCCATCAAGCTAATGGGGAACTAGCATTCGCAGGGTCTGGTTTTGCTTGTGTCTTGCATGAAGCTATTGGAGCACTACAATTTGCAGGGTCGTGTTTCGCGTGCGAATATTGCCTGATTACAATTTCAAATATTCTGTCTTGTGTCGTTGTTTTTTGGTGTCGTTGTCGACATCCTCGTCATCCTCGTCCTCGTCCTCGTCCTCGTCCTCGTCCTCGCCGTTGCCGTCGTGGTAGTTGTTCTTGTTGCTGTTGCTGGTGTTCTTGTTGTTGCTGTTGTTGTTGTGGTTGTCGTGGTGGTTGTGGTTGTGGTTGTGGCTGTTGCTGTTGTTGTTGTTCTTGTTGTCAGACAGACGTGTTGCTGTTGTGGTTGCCATTGTTGTTGTTGTTGCTGTTGTTGTTGTTGCTGTTGCTGTTGCTGTTGTTGTTGTTGTTGTTGTTGTTGTTGTTGTTGTTGTTGTTGTTGTTGTTGTTGTTGTTGTTGTTGTTGTTGTTGTTGTTGTTGTTGTTGTTGTTGTTGTTGTTATTGTTGGTGTTGTCGTTGTTGTCGTCGGGTTGCTGTTGTTCTTGTTGTTGGTGTTGTTGTTGTTGTTGCTGCTGTTGTTGTTGTTCTTGTTGTTGTTGGTGGTGGTGGTGGTGGTGGTGGTGGTGTTGGTGGTGGTGTTGTTGGTTGTTTGCTGTGTGTTGCTTGTTGCTTGTTGCTAGTTGTGTTAGTTGCTAGTTGTGCTAGTTGCTAGTTGCTAGTTGTTAGGTGTTAGTTGTTCGTTGCTAGTTGTTAGTTGTTGGTGTTAGCTGTTAGTTGTCAGTTGTTGGTTGTTATTTGTGAGTTGTTAGTTGTTTCTTGTCAATTGTTAGTTGTTTCCTGCTTATTGTTCCGTGTTTCTTGTTTGTTGTTTCTTGTTTGTTGTTTGTTCTTTCTTGTTTCTTGTTAGTTGTTTGTTGTTAGTTGTGTTAGATATGTAGTTGTTTGTTGTTAGTTGTTTGTTGTTTGTCACAGACAGACAGACGGACAGACAGACATGGATACTGCGGCCTGTCGGGTGCACGTCGCCCCGAAGGGCTGTCAGAAGCAGGAGAACCGCAGCGCAGTTGCGACTGGCTCTTTTTGTGTCTTGCAAGCCGAGTGCCTGCAGCACATTGCGACCCCCTACAATGTGACAGGACCAGGAGAGACTAGGGGACCAGGGAACCAGGGACCAGGGGACCAGAGGACCAAAGGACCAGGGGACCAGGGACCAGACCTAGCAAGGCCCCCCAGACCGGACCAGACCTAGGAAAAAAAAAAACCGTGGACCCGCGTAGAGCCGGCAAACATACAAAACCCTAAACCGTTTCACTTAGAAGCTGCCCCCACCCTGTAATAGTGACCATAAGGATTATATAGGATTATATTAGGGCCCTATTATCTTCCTGTTGTTATACCACTATTACAGGGTGGGGGCAGCTTCTAACCTAAACCCTGAAACCAAAGGGTAATACGTCGTACTTTAGAAGAATGTTAGTACAATATCTTGTCGTTGGATCCCTTTTCCAACTATGAACTTCGGAAGTAAACTGGGAAGGTATTAAACTAAACACAAGTTAAAATTGTGCAAAGCAAATCTCTGACAACTTACTAAAAACCTACTGAACCCTCAAACAATGTCCGGGTTGCCGTCTTCGTCTATCCGTTCGAAGACCTTCTGCAGAAACCTGTTTGGGGACTATTCGGAAGGCTTGAATGTGGTAGAATGGGGTGTCAAATTGTCTTCAAAAGGATTCTCATCTTTGTGAATTCATAGGGACCCCTAGGGGGGTAGGGGGAGGGGGGGCAGGGGGCTTTCGTGCCCATGATAAGCACCTAATAAGGCCTATTTAAGGAAATACAGTCCCCTACCCCCCTCTCTTACCCGCTAGAAGGGTGGAAATGATGAATGGTTTGCGAAGCTTAGGGCTTTGGGCTTCAAGCATTTAGGTGTTTGGGCATTCAGGGTGTAGGGGTTGGGCCTGTTGGCAAGTTGTCTCGGATGTGCACGCATCGCACCATCCTAATCCCTACAGTTCACCCTTCAACGACTCCAACCCTCTCAGAAGACATGTTATGAAGCCACAGAAACCCGAGAGCAAAAGCATAAAGAAGAGTCAAGGAACCCTAGGATCTACACACCCTGGAAGTTTACCATCTTCAATATGGGAGCTTCCGAAAATAGGGGACCCTAATATAGTACCCTGAATAGTAGGACCCTGTTTATAAAGACCCCCAAATAGGGTACCCCTAATTTTCGGAAAGTCTCATAAGATGCATCCTGCACACGGCACCTATGTCCTCCAGAGCCTGAATCACCACTTCAGCTGGTACAGGGAGTAGCCGAAGCAACATACTAAGACTGCCAGGACCCTCCTTGTACCCTCAAATAGGGGTATATGGTCCCAAATAAGGGGCATTTAGGGTCTACTAGAGGGTAGATGGAGGTTCTAGGTGTACTGAACGAAAACCAAGGCATCATGGGAGGACCTACTGTCTGGAAATCCTCCACCCCGCGCTGGGGCCCCAAAACCCAGATCGGGTGCCAAGCAGCTTCTTGTCGTTTTCATGGTTTCTCCTTGGCCACCAGTTGCGGTAGCAAGCGAGCCACTTGTAGGCTACAGGGCCCTGACAACACCCCTAAACCCTAATCCGACACCCCATGTAGATCTCTTCGGGAACCCGTAAAGGAGACCTCGCGAGTATCCCTTTCAGGAGACCCTTGAAGGGGTCCCTTAAAGGCGTTCACGGAGGGGACCTATTTAGATCCTTTAGGGAATCCAGGTCCTAAATACCTACATGGCAACTCCTGATATAGAAGCCCTGATTCTGCGATAGCCAGTAAACCCGAGATCCCTAGACCCCTAAACCACTCTTGTTCAGCACTTAGGGCCCCTTTAGTTAAGGAATCTGAGTCCGAGGATCTCCATCTCTTCTGCCAGATTCAGGACATCCCTCTCTCGCGCTTCCGCAAAAGTGTCCACCTGAGATTTTTTAGGGCTTAAGTTTTTTTTTCGGGCTTCGGGTTTAGGGCTGAGGGCTTAGGGACTAGCCAAAGGGTCCAAAGTACCTCATTATATAGTAGACGGTAGGGTTTCTATACTAGGAGTTACTATTGTGAGTTGAGGAAGTATCCCCGGTAACAGTACTTCGGACCCTTAGGGCTAAAGAGTTTGGGTTGGGCGTGTAGGGCCTTGCGGCTGTAGGCTTTGAGGGGTCGACACCTTAATTGGGATTCAGGGTTTGGGGTGGCTGCGGGTATTGGTGGCCTGTATTGTCGAGTGCGAATGATTGGTATCTTCCATAAGGAATCGGCCCGGAGCCCAGTCATAAGAAAAGTTGGGTTGGCTATGTTGAAGTCAAACGTTCTGACATGCCCACCCCGGATTAAGGATAAAAGCATCGGGTCCGACTGATCACATCTGTTGATAAAGCTGCTCTGGTTTACGAAGTTGCAATAGTCATAATCACTTTGTGCTGCGACCTCCCTCGAAATAGATATGAAGCTGTACACACCAAGGAACAGTTTTGGGTTAAGCAGCTGTATAGAGTCCTACTGAGCCCTAGCCCATGGTAGTTGTAACCCTGATTTCCAAGCCTTAACTCTAGCTTACCCTAAACCGTCAAGCCCCAAATCCTCATCGATATTAGCATGGTTTCGACGCATTAAGACAGTAAGATATGGAACTGAAGAACCTCGCCGCGTGCCCAGACCACAAACACGACATGTCGACACGTAAATGAGTCGGAAAGGAAGGGGTTTAGGGCTTGGGTGCAGTAAGGTTTGGAATGGTAACTTGGAGGACCATGGGACTTAGTAACTGAGGTTACAAGTACCTTTATTTTCGCAAGTATAGATACCCGAATTATAACCCTAGTTACTAAGTCCCATGATCCTTTAATTTAAGAAGGTTTGGAAGAAGAAGAAGCAACAACCACCAGTAGAGCAGCTCCGACAGGTTCATGTGGGATTTAGGGTTTTGGGTTTAGGGTTTAAGGGTTTAGGGTTTAGGGTTTGGGGTTTAGGGTTTCAGGGTTTAGGGTTTAAGGGTTAAGGGTGTAGGGTTTAAGGGTTTAGGGTTTAAGGGTTTAGGCCTGCCAAAAATGCACGGGATATTGGAACACACCACTGGACCCAACCCCTTTCAACCCCCCCCCCCCAAACCGGGCCAAGGCACAACGACAGCTACGATGAGGTTCAGCACGCCAAAGACCAAGGTCAGCAGCGAGCCCATGAAAATGATGGCCGTCGCAGGATATTCCATGATCACGGGGACTGCGATAAGTCCCCAGCCTAAGGTTGTGAGGGGGGGTCCCTTTTCAAAGGCTCCTTTAAAGGATCCTTAGAGGCTTCTTGAGGGATTCAAGACGGGTTCTGCATAGGGAGTACGTGGACCCTCTGGGAGCTTATAAAGGTCAGTTAATGATCTGTAGGCTGTGGATTTAGACGGCCGACTTTTGCAGCAGTTTAGGGCTTAGTGGCTAAGGGTGCTCGAGAAGCGTGGTCAGGAGTGCATGCGAGCCTTTAATCTACCATAAGTTAACCAGTGAACCCCCAAAACCCCCGAGCCCCCAATCAGGTCCTAAATTGGACTTCACCAGGGGCTAGTTCGTGGGGTCTGGGTTGTGTTTAGGGCTGAAGGCTTAAGGTTTTGCGCGTGTAAAATTTCCCAACTGCTGCAAACGGCAGTGTAATATAGGCTGAGGCGTGAGACGACCCGAAACCCTGGAAAGATCTAAATCTGCTGAATTCCAACCTGTCACCGATCGTCCCAGAGAGTCGGTCATGGAGACTCAAATTAGCAGAAAGGTGTTTGGGGGGAATCTTGTATTGCGTTGTTGTGCGATGTCTCGCGATGTTTGAAACTGCTGTGTTGAACTTCCCTGAGAGCCCAATACCCCTTAACTAAGGAATATAGCTTAAATCGCAATATGTACCCCCTTATCGAACCCGAACAGCAAAACACCGAAATCCCTTCAAGTCGCTAGAAAGGTTTGTTTAGGAACAACCTTTACTGGGCTTGCAAGGAACCAGCGAGAACAAAGTATAAACGCTTGTTTCATAAGGGTTCCGTTAAGAAAAGAAGTATTAAAGGATGATACTCCAAAGCCCAGTTTAACACCCTCCAAAACTCCTATAGAGCCTGATAAGTAGAAGGAACAGCAGCCTTCACGGAACCCTTGAAGTACCCTTAACCCCTTGACACTACCCGAACTCAAGGACCAACAGTACAAGTGGCTGTCCCCTGCAATGACAGTCTTAAAAAGCAGGACGTTCGCCCGCATGACGGAGGTGGTCAACAGTTTACACTCCTTGCGAAGGTTAAGTCTCTGCAGACTCTCCTACAACATCAACGACGCCCTGACGTGCTCCGGGATTTCCTCAGGAATGCCCAAAGCAGAAATCCGAAAACCTGACGCTACTCCGGGATCCCTGCGCCCTATCTCTGAGTCCCAATCCCTCTACGCCCCCTGAGTCCCGCAATTTTCGTTCCCCAAAATCGTTGATGATATGAAACCCATTGAATGAAGCCCTATAACGGCCCTGTAATAAGACTATGCAGCCCTTACGCACACCAAAACATCACCATCAAGCACGAATATCAAGCCCCAAGGAAGTCACCTTAGACCCTGCAAACTCTAGACTGACTCTAGACATTCTGAACTCACTTCTTCATCAGCTTCTGAAACTAACGCTTGAAGGAACTCTTGAAGAAACTTTGCAGCATCCCCATGAACACCCTCCAAAACCCCTCAACCTAGTGGAAAACCAGCAAAGGACCAGTGCGAGAATCCCTGAAGAGACCGTCTGGCAAAACCCCGAATGGCGCCCGAAACCCTGCAAACCGCAAACTCGAAACTCTCCTAGACACCCTGCAAAGAAACCTCGTAATGGGCACTCAAGGGGACTTAAGCGGCACCCTGAAATGCAACTTTAAAGCGGCATCCTAGAATGAAGCCGGGAAAAAATCAACTCTCGATGCCCGAATTACAAACGGGACTCTGAAAAGATATTGAACCCTTACAGACCTAGAACCTCCATCTACCCTCTATTAGACCCTAAATGCCCCTTATTTGGGACCATAGACCCCTATTTGAGGGTACAAGGAGGGTCCTGGGAGAGTCTTCACTTACCCTAAACCCTAAACCCTAAACCCTAAACCCCTTCACACAAGAACTACAGAATCTCAGAGGAGCCCAGCGCTGAAAACCCCAAACTTCTTGAAAATTAGGGGCACCTTATTTTGGGGTCCTTATAATAAGGATCCTACTATTTAGGGTGCTATTTTGGGGTACAGGTTAGGTAGGGAACTCTGACAAGAAACCTTTGGTGTAACTCCCTAAGCACAGAGAATGCACAAAACTTCACCAACCACCTCAAACCTACAACCAAAAGCAACACATGCAAAAACAAAACAAACAGCTGAGAGCGAGTTCTTTGATCCAGAAAACCCACCCTAAACCCTGTAAGCCCTACACGCAAAGAAGCGTTTCTTTAAGCCCTCAGAGAGGAGTCCTCCCCGCAGCGACCCCATAGCTCGTGATCCGGATCTTCCATAAGAGTCTGGATCAGGGGGCCGACGATCTCCACGAGAAGCATGGCCTGTAAGGTTATAATTAAAGGGAACTCCAGAAAGTTGGAATATGGTTTCAGGGTAGGATAACTTATAATTTACCATAAAGGGTTTAGGATAATCATATTGCAACTTTCTGGCTTCTACTGTAACGTACTAGGGTAAGGGTACCGAGAGGGTCTATATACACCACTATTATGGAATAAGGTCCCAAAAACCACAATGGGTATGGTCCTTCGGGCATAATTCCATAATGGTCGTGTATATGGACCGTTTGGGGTAAGGGTTGAGGTTTGAGGGTTTAGGGCTCAGGGTTTGGATAGGATGTTGGGTTTAGCGTTTAGGATTCACGGTCATCTGCAGGAAGCACTCATTGGTTCAGGTAACATTTCAGTGATTGTGTACATCAGGCTAGAACTTATCGAGATAGGGGGCCTTAGTATTCAGAACTTGGCACATTTGAATTTGGATTGAAGGGGTTTATAGAAGGTTTATCTGGCTTCATACAGGGCCCAGGATCTTTTGGCACGGGTTGACATTCTACTGTTTGGGCGGAAGTTCTATGGCCTTTATTGGGCTGGCTCTAAACCCCAACCCGCTACAGTACACCGTAAACCCCCCCGAATAGCAAGTAACCTGGGCCACTTTGGAATCCTATTCCAACCACGAAGCCCTTTCGAATTCTGGCAGAGCCGGGATTCCCAGACGGTCATGATGACGAAGCAGAAGACGAAGGACCACACCAGTGCTTTCAAGCAGGTCGCCATCATGGTGACTAGCTTCCTTGAGGATGGAGGGTTGAAGCGGTACGTTGTGTTCTTTGACAGGGGGCCGGGGTTGACGGGATAGTTATGTAGGCCTTGAGGCCGGGTCTTTCAGGCTTTAGGGTTTGGGGATCTTCAGTGCACCAGTTTCCTTGAGGGTGTTAGTGTATATGATAGGCAAAGCATACCCCACCGATATTCATTCTAAGGGTAAAAGGAGGGACCCTTAATAAGGACTCCTAGGTAAATACCCTTCATATAGCTATTATATACCCATTATATAGCCCATTATAGGGTAGGGGTCCCCGGTAAGGGTCCCTCCTTTTCCTCTTTGATTCATGGGACCTAGCAGGTGAGGATCAGAGGTTGTTGCTACGCCTAGACTCAGACCTTATCTCAGGCGTCCAAGTACCTAATAATCATATGCTCTCTGAAATCCCAACCTACATACCCTGAAACCGAGTACCTCATTATTGGGTCCTGTGGACAACTAGGATAAGTTATAAGCGCGCAGAACCCGTATTCTCTGGTGTATGAGCTATGGAACAATTGCGACAAGCCAACAACCCTGGGATCTGCAGGGTCGGCTCAACCATTAAGTAGGGTAAATGCTTCATATGCTAGTAAAGGCTGTAGAAGCCTCTCGCTCCATATATGAATATGTATGTATACATATATATGTAGAGAGAGAGAGAGAGGGTCAGAGAGAGAAATGTATGTGTATATATATATATATATATATATATATATGTATGTATGTATATGTACATACATATACCGCATGTGTATGTGTACACATACATGTGTGTGTATATATATATATATATATATATATATATATATGTGCTGACCTATCTGTTTATGTAATTATATGTTTTTACGTTTTTCACGTTTGCATACATGCATATACACATATGCACATACACACACATGCGCAAATACATATCTATAAATATAAATATATATATATATATATATATGTGCGTAGATGTATATACAAACATTCACAAACAGACCCACTGATGCGCCACTAGCCCCACAACCATCCTCTGGGTCCCAAAGGTCATAAAACTAATCGAGAGCCCCTCATTCTCCATGTACAATGCTCTTACGTCTTGCGCCACATGCATCCTAGCAAGGTCTTTCTACCTGCCCTGAGCGCTAAAGCTTAAACTTAAACCCGAATTAGTCAAATTCTCTAAACCTGGGAGGCTGCAGCTCTCCCAGTTAATCAGCAGATCTGAGCCGCTGTAGCTCCCGCAAGCGCGGTGCCTTCCGCAGCAGCCGCACCAGCCGCAGAATTCGGGCCAGTCGCAGCACGCGGAGCATGCTGAAGAAGCCTCGGACATCATCTTGAGGACCAGAATCACAAGATCATGGTGAGTGCTACTGTTGCCTCTATCAGTACGCGATAGTATCTGTATTTTGCAGTGATATATGAGATTCAGGTCTTCTTCTTATAACTCGGATTATGACGGTAATCATGATTACACCTATTCTAGCTAATACTAACTACCCTGCTGTACTCTTGCTGCTGCACTAAGACTTAGTCTTAAGTCAATCAACACTCCAAACCCTAAACCTGCAGGCCTAAAGAGCCACAACCCTGACTTGCAGAGTCAGAGCACAGTAAGCAAGGCTACCGGTATCTTCGGAGGACAGAAGCAAATAGTCATCGTGTCTATAGCCCTACTTCCTAAGTACCCTGATCCTTTTAGAGAGCCCTTAAACCCTCCAAAACCCTACAAGTAAAAGAGCTACAGTGGCCTTACTGAATTTTACTTAACCCTACTTACTAAATCCCCGGATTCCTCTCAACCCAAAACCCTAAACCCTCAGGAGACCAAACGAAAACACAATCGGGACGCTGATCGTCTGCAGCGTCTCACTCGTCAGGAGGGCATTCAGAACCAGCTCTGCCTGAGTACAAGTATCTCTACGCTACTGCAAGGGTTCTTCATGGTCCCCTTTAAGGATCTGTTGATGACAAATTCTGTCTCTGTTTGCAAAGTCGGCTGAAACTTTCAGGGTTTTGGGGTTCCGGGCTTAGAATTTTGTGAAATAGTGCTATGGTTTCGAGCTCGGGCCGTGGCGAGCGTCCGCCTTTTGTTGATTTCTGGTGTTGGTGGTGATGACGAGGCAGTGTTGCCAGTAAGGCATGGCAGTGGTAGTCACCAGCACTGGCGGGCGGATGGTTTGGGGCTTGGGGTTCATAAGGTTTGCTGGTTCTGGTGGTGGTGACTGGCTGGTCGCTGGCGGCAGTGCCTTGTTTAAGACGGTAGTGGCTTGCGCATGCGAGGCTCTGACCAACGTTTGCAGCATCTAGGGATACGGGTCTGAAGGCGGTGAGTAGTTCAGGTACAATCAACACCCTGAACCCCAACAGTCAAAAACCCTGGCCCGAGTGATAACATCGCAGCCCGAAACCCTGGATCCTTAAACGCAAAAAGCCAGAAGCCGAAATGCCATGTGCCGTGGCCTCGAAGTCCTGAATTTAAACCCTATAGACACTTAACCCCCAAACCAAAAACACCCTGAACCCAAAAAATCATTCTGCATGGCGGGGTGCGTAGCCGCAGCCGATGATCATTGCATCGATCGCTACCAGCCAGTGACTCAGAATATGGCAACCTCTGCATCAATACAGTCGTTGATTCGCTCAATACCGTCTAACTACATGATACTCGTGATCGGGTTAAGGGTTTAGGGTTAAACCCTAAGCCCCTAAACCTTGTGATCCGGCTCTTTGTGGGGTTCTAGGCTTAGTTTCAGGTTTGGAAGTTCGTGTTAAATTGGGAGCTCGAGGCTTATGCGCCGAGCCTTAAACCGCAAAGCCCCAAACCCTGCCTGTGTATATATATATATATACATATATATATATATATAGATATTCATATTTCTATTTGTAGATAGGAATTGTATGTGTGTGTATATATATATATGTATGTATGTATACCCAGAGGGTCCAAGTACTCCCTATGATCGGCTATAGGACTTGAGGGCCGGTTCCAAAAAAACATACACATGGGCTCTTTAGGGTGGCAGCGTAAGTTCAGGCCATATCTGGGATGGCCTTTAAACACCCTGAAAAATATTTATATATAGGGTCCCTTATAAACGCAAATAAGGAAAATAGCAAATGTCCCAAAATCCAACCTAGATATACTCAGAAGAGCAGGGACACTGACAAAGTAAGGTTATAAGATAGGAGACTAAAGCTCATAGTTACCTCCTATCCCTACTTCGTCCAGACTCAAAGAAAAACAGGACCCAGGGAAAGGTCGCCTTCGATTAGTACTCAGATCTGTACACAATATCGAACTATCGAATCCGAATTCAATTTCGGAGAATTGAGGGCTGACGGTTGCGAGACGGGAGAATCTCTCAGGCTCGGTGGATTGCTTGGAGGATCACGGGACTTAGTAAGTAAGGTTATAAGCACCTTAATTGGGGTTATATGTATAGTTACCCTAATTATAACCCTAGTTGCTAAGTCCCATGATCCTTTAAGTGGGCTCGCGTGATATCGAGGCAGTCATAGTCGGCCTAGGCCTTTTGTAGCGGTGTTTTAAGGAATGACATGGAATAAGATTTGCACCTGTTTAGGCGTTTGTGGTACCCTAAACCCTAAACCCTAAACCCTAAACCCTAAACCCTAAACCCTAAACCCTAAACCGTTTCGGACTTTGGGGTTGAAGATCTTTCAAAGCTTTCGAACCCTCGAGAGCAGCCTTGGATCCTCGAAGCCCACAGCTTGAAGTCTTAATGCCGACGAAGGCTTGTATCTAGCTGTATACACATGTGCGCTTTGGGGGGGACGGGGGGAGGTGGGGGGGGGGCGGGTGTAGGTGTGTATGTATGTATATATTGCATAGCCATCGACATCGACATTGACATCGGCACAGACACGGCACATGCACACATACACACGTACACCCATATACATACACACACATACATAAGTCCAGACATGCATGCATGCATACCTACATTCTACATACATACACACACTGTAACGGGTACATAAGCCCTGAACACATGTATCTCAGCCCTGAAGCCACGGAATGAGCCCCGGCATCTCCCAAACCAAGCCTGTATCAACCCCAAGCCCTGCCGCGGAAACTCTACACCACTCGACGAACCCAGACCCCCGGGCCGATCTAGAAAGTAGATCCCCCTATATAATGTGGGGCCCTATACTACTAAGGGTACTTTACAGGAACCCCCATTAAGGGATCTACTTTTTGGATCCTCCCGGGGGTCTGGGAAGAATACGGCAACTCAATGACAAGACCCGAACACACACCAAGAAACGTATAACTTATAACGAGGCAAAACGCAAAGCTCTTTCGTGTCAGAAACTTTCTAAAGTTAAACCTTAGGGCTCCTTCTGAACCCCCCCTTCACAACCCTCAGAAAGAACATGGAGGGCCTCGAAGCATTACCTGCATAACCAACTCTGCCTGGGGCGGCTTTGCTTGTGTCTCTGCGCTTTACTAAACAGGGCCTTCAGGGTTTAGGTTTAGGGTTTAGGATCCCCAAAGCCCTAAATCCGTAAAATGCACGGGCTTCAATCGGGGTTTACAGAAATCGTGGCATTGAGTTCCTCTGGTCATCTGAGGGCTTTATGATGATCGTTCCGGTTGTGATGGGGGTTTACAGGGCATTACATGAGACTGAGAAAGCAGCGTCGGGGCCATGTTCCGGGCTATGGAGGATTTCTCACAACCCCCAGGACCTCCAGCATATCGGTGAGCCAGAAAAGACTATGCTGGGCTTCACCTTCAACAGGAAGCTGAATAGTGAGTTGGTAATATGATGTCTATTATCTCCTTGGGTAACTACGTTATATTAACGCCTACGTGGACAAACCAGAAGATATTTCCGGCCGAAGCAACCTGACGCAGAGGTTGCCATCGGGACCCGCCCCCCCAGTTTCCCCGATTGAAAATTTACGAGGGGCGCTGGACTTTAAACATGAAAAGCTCACACACCAAAACCCTAACTCCGCAAAGCCCTGTATATCCAGAGAGCCCTAAGCCCTAGTAGAACCCTTACAGTACCTTTCGGAGGACGCTAGACCAACAAGCCCAAGAGGCTGTGTAAAGAGCTAAGCATAGGTCCGACATCAGCATGAGAGCCCGAGGCGGTGTTTCACCCACAGCTCTCGAGTCCTCAGCAGGAGAAGGCTTAAGGGAGCAGCTTCTTCTTCGAAGAGCATAGGGGTTTGGGTTTAGGGTCCAGTTAGGGCTTAGGGTTTGAGGTCCAGGTCTTGGGCTTTTGTCTTGGAGGGTGGGGGGGCGGGGGGGTGCCGGTTAAGGCTGCAGGGATGGATTCTGGGTTCCACGGTTTTGCAAGGTTTGTGCATGGTTAGGCTGGCCAACCCTAAACCCTAAACAAACCATAAACCCCAAGCCACGGAGTAAACTTAAACCCGTGAACAGAAAACCGCGGCCTGAATGAAACCGTAAACCCTGATCCTATTCTCTTGAAGGCTTTTTCCGGCCCACGACAGAGGACAAACAAAGGTTGGCCTGAGATTTGATGGTTACTGCAAGAGATTGTGGGTTTAACATCTCAAAAGGTCGTAATCCTCACTATAACCAAGGCTAGGGTTGATCGGGTCTGTACAGAGTCTAGGCCTTATAGGGTTGAATAAACAGCAATTATGTTTATAAGGGCTTTTACAAGCGCATCTCATAGTAGCGTTAGGACGTTTTTCCGGGCTCTTCTGGCGCAGTCCCAGACAACGAGGACTGCACGTCGTTGTCCGGCAAAAATCTAGTGGTCTAGGCCCTGTGCGGCGGCCTGGGCCAGTGTGATAATTATTCTTCGGTAGATAGGGTCTTGCTTTGAACAAGCAAGGTTGCTCGGTATTGAGACTCGTATGGGAACCCTTCAATGAAACCGCAGAACACCCATATAGATTCCTATCCTGAATTTTATGACACATCCAAAAGAATTCTCAACGACGTCTCAGATTCGATGTCCACGATCAATGAGGACGCATCGACCAGCACCTGCAGCTTCTTGGAGCCATGTCATGACTGGCATCTATCTATGTATATATATATATATGTATATATAGATATATATGTATATATATATATACACAAGATATATGTGTATATATATATACACATATATATATATATATATATACAGAGAGAGAGAGAGAGACACACGCACACATAGATATGTGTGTGTGTGTATATATATATATATATATATATATATATATATATATATATATATTCGACAGCTCCAAGGCCACACAGGCCCTGCAAATCCCAAACCGATGAATCTTGCGTGTAGCCTCGACCGGCCCTAGGCCCTAGGCCCTAGATCCTGAAACCACAACCCTAAATCGATAAAAAACAAACCTACAACGAGTCTTAGGGGATAGGGTTTAGGGTTTAGGGTTGAACCCACCACTACTTTTCCCCAACCTTTGAAGAATCAGTGAGCAGGGCTGTGGAGTCTTGCCCTGTGAGGGATCTTGTCTTGGGCGTTTTACGGTGTAGGAAACTGAGGGAATGCTTCTCATAGGGGTTTACTTGAAGGATCATGGGACTTAGTAACTAGGGTTCTAATTAGGGTAGCTATACTTATAACCCCAATTAAGGTGCTTATAACCTTACTTACTAAGTCCCATGATCCGGCAAGTAGGGTTCAGAGTTAAGGCCACGGCTTGGGGTTCGGGTGATGGGCGGATGTCGACATCCTTGTATACCCATAGCAAGGCCGAGAGGCTACCAAAGCCATGAAGTTCGCGAACCGAGTGCTTTGCACAAACTTCAGCAGAGAAGCGCGAACCTCACAGGAAGCACAAGGCATGTGACTTAAACCTCCGGTGCCATGAACTAGACACCGACTCCTGGCGACACACCCTTCAGACCCTAAGCTCCAAACCTTAGAACCAAAACCGCAAAGCCTCAAACCTATACCATCGGATGTTCGTTCTTGCGGTTGCCTTAGCTGAGGGTTTATGAAGCTTACACTAAATAGCTCGTTGTATGGTGTTTAGAACTTCTTCTAATTACAATACTGTAGTGTAGTGTAGACTCCGGATTAAGAACTCTGATCCTGTAGGGACCTGAATGCTAGGATTCCCGTGACAATCTGTTTTTGAGAGACGGATTCGTTGGCCAGGACTGTACACTATGCCCGATAAACCCTAAACCCCCACAAAAACGGAGAGATCACCTAAATCCTAAACCAGTCAAAGGTGCAGAGAGCACCTTGCAGCCTAGCATGCCAAACCTATGAGTCCCAGGAATCAGGAGCTGGAATAAGCCCAAACCGAGGCGACAAACCCAAAGCTCTAAAGCCTGCACCCTCGAACCCTAGGGGTTTAGATACGTCACACTATTCGATATAGGGACTATAAGGAGTAAGTATTACACATATTTCCGAACCCTCTAAACCCAAAGCTCCCCACCCCCCTGCTAGAACCATGTCAGCACCCTCAGCTCTACCTGTGGCGCCAAAACCCTAGAAATTGCTGGGTCGTCACCCTGTTACTAAAGGGTAAAACCTTGGATCCACAGGTACACTCTAGGCCGCCAAAACCCTCAAACCCCACACCCCATACAACTGTCTGGTGTTTACTAGGGAATGGGGGAATGCATCCCTATAGTAGCCTCTATATAATCCCCATTTTTAGTCCCCATAACCCACTCCCCCATTCCCTGCTAAGCACCAGGGACCCTACTAAGAACCCTAAACCCCTATAGGATAACCCTTTCAGTAAGCCTTAAGGGAACCCTTAAAGGATACAACAATGGAAGCAGCAAGGCCTTGCCAGCATAGCTGGAATGGTTGGACATTTCATCAACCTGAGAAGGTCTTGGGGTTTCGGCTTTAGGTGCCTCTAACGGGGGATTTAAGGGATTGGGTTTAGGGTTTAGGGTTTGAGCTCCTAACGGTGGGGTTTACAGGGGTTTAAGCGGATTAGGGTTTCAGCTTCCAGGTGGATAAACCTGATTCGGCTCGGGAGCAGTATGCGCCAGTAGTCTCAGTAGGTGTTGCATTCAACTCGCAGGCAATTATATACTGGCATCATAGTATTGCGGTAGAAAGGTGTGGCTGCCTTGTTATGCAACGTAAATCCGCTTTTGTTCAAGTAGAACATCGTATGTACTGTGATATACCGTACAAAAAGAACACTGATTGATGTGCAAGGTTCCTTGTACATGACGGCTTTACCCACACGGCTGTCATTTTTGTGGAGCATAGAGGGTCGACAAGGTTTTGGGCATTCAGTCAGGATCCCTTCGCGGCAGGGATCGACCTGTCTATTGAAACTCGATACACGACAAAGCTTAAAACCCCCAACCCTAAACCCTAAACCCCCCTAAACCCCCCAACCCTAAACTCCCCAACGCTGCGAAAGCCCGTTTGCCCTGATCCAGTTGAGAACCGCCGGCCTGCTTGGCCTTAATGAAGTTGCTGCCAATGCCGCCTGCCAGGCACGTTGACAGATCTGGGGTCTGAGGGGGTTTAGGATTCGGGGTTTAGGGTTTAGGGTCGAGGGCCCACAACAGTTGACAGATCTGAGGTCTTACTTAAAGGGTCGTGGGGCTTGGTGGCTGGGGTTATCATTAGGGTACCTAAACTTATAACCCCAACTACGGTACTTATAACCTTACTTACTAAGTCACATGATCCTTCAAGTAGGGGGTTTGAGATTTGGGGTTTCGGGCCCGACAACAGGAGAACCATTCGGCTTTGACTTGACTCAGTTAAGGATGTGTGGAAGATCTACATCCAAACAATGGACAAGCTATGAAGCTGAACATACAGCAGAAACCGCAACAACATAAGCTCTGTGTATAACACCCTAGACAGTACAAACACAGACAGCTAATCATAAAATCCTAAACCACCCTCATGACACCCCAGAGTAATCTCGAAGATCGGACCATGTGCTGGCAAAGATCCGGCTTCGACTGAGCCGGCAGACACCAGAGTCAACATGGACAATTCTCGGTTGCTCAGTAAAGGGAACTCCAGAAAGTTGTAATATGGATTCATGGTAGGATCCCCTGTAATTTACCCTAAAGGGGTTACGATAATGATATTCCAACTTTCTGGCTTCTACTGTATCCTCTGAATTCAGAGTCTTCTTTTTGGTTCGGGGCTAATATAGAGGCCTCAATATAAGCATGATGTACCAGGCTACTGTAGAAAGGTAGCTGGGAGGCCTAGTGATCTTGCTTTGGAGTTTGGGATTTCTTCCGTTTAGGTATCTGGACACAAGGGCTGGTAGGGCTTGTGTTAAGTCAGTGTGTTTTTGGGTTGCAGACCGTTGGTTCAATGATTGTTTAAATAGCTCCTCCTCCGATGCTGTTCCTGCAGGAAGATACCAGCAAAAAGTGGCCCTTCTCTGATAACGTACAAAGAATGTGGCGGGTCGTTACAGGTTGCTCCAACGGACCTCCTGGATTATCCAAGACCCCGAATTCTCCAAGCCCTCGACCCCATAGAGCAAGCTCCTCAACTTCTTAAGCCTTAATTACCTCGGTCCTAGATTTCCAAAGCGTGGAAACTCGAAGCCCAAGTTTGCGAACGGATTTTGGGTCTAGGGTTTGGGTCTGGGGCTATGGGCTTGGGGTTTAGGGCTGGCTTGGGGCATGGGGTTTGGACTATGGCATCGCTACAGTATGAGAGCCCCGAAAATCCTTCCCAATTATTAAGGCTATATAATTAATATATATATATATATATATATATATATGTATATATATATATATATATATATATACATATACACATATACACACATATATATATATATATAAATATGTTATATACACATGGTATATATGACTAATTTGACACCCCCTACAGCACCCTCATATGAATCCATACTGGAAGCCTATAAAGCTCTTTCCAAGCAACCCTGTCAAGGAACCTGGCTATGCCCTGAGCCCTAAACCCCAAAACCCTGACCGTTTTAAACCCCTAAACCCTAAACCCCTAAACCCTAAACTCCTGGTTCACGGGAGCCCTGCAAGAGGGCCTTGGACACGCTTGGAGCGGAAGCTGGGGCTGGGGCTGTCCATCGAAGAATGGTAGCCTTGGGACTGTCCCAAGGCACCCTAATCCCTAAAGGCTGCAAAGGCTTTAAACCCCAAACCCTGAAACCTAAACCCTTATAGTAACCCTTCTAGAACTCTTATAGTAAACCTTGTTATAGGAAGCCTTATCGAGCCCTACCGTGGATCCGGAGGAAGGATTTGGGGATTCCTGTCGCAGTCCCCGGAAGCTGCCCTGCACCATTGCAACCAAGTGGGCCGGGGCTTTGTCTGCCGGAGTTTTCCTCAAAGGCACATGGGAGTTTACGAAAGGCACATGGGAATTTACGAAAATTAGGGGTACCTTATTTTGGGGCCCTTATAATAGGGATCCTACTATCTTAGGGTACAGTATTAGGGTCCCCCATTTTCGGAAACTCCCACATGGGAGGACGGTTCTCTGATTTCGGTGTAGCTTACTCACGGTTCTGTTTTTGTTAATGCCGTCGTCCATGAGGTTTGTTTGAGCCTGGGATACCTGTTTTAGGCCTTTTTATGCTTTACAGCTTCTGCAGAGCTTTGGAGGGCTTCTTTAAGTTAGGGGTGCCGCATTTAGGGGTCCTTATGATAGGTTTTGTTGATAGAGTTTTTTTGGCGGCGGGGGTGTGGAGGGGTCTCCGCAACAGAGTATGGAGATTCAACTCTAAGGGGCTGAGGCTTTCGGGTCTTCTTAAAACTTTGCACCACCGTGAAGTCTTGTATAAGTCGGTCAAGAGGTTCGGAGTTTAGGGCTAATATAAAGCACCATCATGAGTCTGGAACACTCTAAGAAACCCATAACCCCTGAAATGCAGCCGCTTTTACGACCGTCTAGTAAACATCAGTGAACATGAAACCTGTCAGAAACATAGGACAGTGTATCTTCTACGAGACCCGATTGAAGCACCAGGAACATGACCTTTAGAACAACCCGGCCCTGGTAGAGAACCCGCGATCCGTTTTGTTGGACAACGGCAAAGACTATCAGCGAAGCCGACAATCAGCCTTTGTACTGGCTATTGGAAGAATGAAAAACGAGAAGCAAAAAGCGCATGCCCTTAAACAGAACTCACTAGCTGAACTGAAAACCAGGCTCGGTCAACGCGCCCTCAAAGCTCGCCAGTGCACTGCTGTACTCACCTGGCTCAGTGCTTCTTTTGGGAAGTTTTGCAGGAAGCTATACGAGTTTCTACAACGATCTTATGGGAGTTCGACTGCAGCTTTGCTATAGCATACAGTCAAACACAAATGACCATATGGAAACAAATACATATACATATACTTATACATACAGACCGACAGACAAACGGACAAACAAACAGACCGACGGACAGACAGCAAAACAGACGGACAGCTCAGACACCAAACAACAAATAGACACATGCAGGATCTAGAATAGCTGAACTGCGCTGGGGTTTATGTTGCATATCAAAAGACACAGTCCTATCCCACAAAGCCTGCAACCTAAGCAAAGACCCGATGCAAAATCCCTCCAGGCCATCCCAAGACCCTAAACCCTAAACTAAACCCCTAAACTCTAAACCCTAAACTGAACCCCTAAACCCCAAACCCTAAACCCTAAGGCCTAAACCCGTCCGGCCTGAGGCCATAGGCGATCGTAAAGCCTGGGCGCTTGGGGACAAATTCCCCGCATCGACCTTGGCTTCTGGGTTTACAGTAAAAGCCAGAAAGTTGAAATATGATTATTCTAAACCCTTTATGGTAAATTATAGGGTATCCTACCCTGAAACCATATTCCAACTTTCTGGAGTTCCCTTTAGGGTTTGAACGGAGCCGGGTTCCTTTTAAAGGGTCTGTATAAGGGTTACTACAAGTACATGAGGCCTAAGTGGAGGACTCCTGTGAACTAAGGGTTTAGGATTTGGGGGTTAAAGGGTTCCTTATTTAGGGGTTTAGGGTTTGGGGTTTAGGGTTTATAGAGGCTTAGGTTTTAGGGCTTTAGGGGTTTAAGGTTTGGATAGGATTTTGGGTTTAGGATTTGCGATCTCCACGAGAATCATGGCCTCTTCGGGTTTTTGGAGCATTGTGGGTTTATGAGTCTCAAAGGGTTACTAAAACACATGGCTGACTTTTGAACCCCTCCTAAAGGTGAAATATAGAAACCCTAAAAAATACAAAGTTTTAACCTCCTTGTTTATAGTTCATATAAGAGCCCAAACAGTTAGTCCTATAAGAGCCAAGCAGAAGAAGGCCAAGCGACGGAGGAGCGCTTCGAGGAGCCAGCGGGGAGGCTGGGCAAAGATGCTTTGGAGTCGAGGGGGCTCACAACTTCGATTTCCATCGAAGTGTCCGCCATGGCGCCAGGGAGGGCCGAAAGAGCCAGAGCTGGGATGTAAAAGTTTTTAGTTGAGCTCTCTACTTCAAGGATCATGGGACTTAGTAGCTAGGGTTCTGACTCCACGTAGTCTTTTGGGGCTTACCCATAGGCCCCAAAGTAGTTCCTTTTTGGGATTACCCTAGAGGGTTCTATATACGAACCCCAAAAAAGAACTACTTTGGGGCCTATGGGTTGACATGTTCCGAAAGGATTAAGCGAGCGTCTCTGGTGAACTTCATCGTGGCTTCCTGCCGCAGGAATCCCGCAAGCTTCTATACTTCTGTCGGCTAGTGACGGCTAGCGGCTAGTAGGAACCGACCGTGGGATCTTATGCACTCCAGTTGAGACACAGTCTTCTGCCATTCTTTATGTTTGAGCCGAAAGCCTACCGCAACCAAGGGTGGTACCGTAGCAGTCTGCGTTGTGGTCTCTGCTCTAGATAACTTGCGCCATGAAATATGGCCGAACATGAAAAACTTGAAGTCTACGAGAGAACTCCGAGTCGATACCAGCACAGGTTAATTATTCAGGCCCCGAATGTTCAAAAGCCAAGATCCGAAACAGACAAATTCCAAAACCCCCTCAAGCCCTGAACCCCAAACGCTGAAACCCTAAACCCTGAAATCCTAAACCCTAAAGATCTACTTCCAAGACCACTCCGTACACCCCGGACTCCCCGAACTCTAAACCCTATAAACCCTAAATCCTAAAACCCTAACCCGAGAGCCCAATACCCCTCAATTAAGGAATATAGCTTAAATCATAATATGTAGCCCCTTATCGTTTAAGGTATATTGCTTAATTAAGGGGTATTGGGCTCTCTGGGTAGACCCTAAACCCTAAACCCTAAATCCGAAACCCTAAACCCTGGACCCTAAGCCCTAAACCCTAAACTCCTAAAACTCTAAATCCTAAACTCCTAAAAGGCCCTAACCCGAAAGCCAGTTACAGTTACACAGCGCAAAGCCAGATCCCTGGCTGCAGGGACCCTTGCGAAGATGGCTCTGGTTTACAGGGTTCAGGGCCTATAGGTTTTGCAGGGTGTAGGGTTTCTTTGTAGGGTTCAGGGCCTATAGGTTTTGCAGGGTGTAGGGTGTCTTTGTAGGGTTTAGGGCCTATAGATTTTGCAGGGTGTAGGGTTTCTTTTAAGGTTTAGGGCCTATAGGTTTTGCAGGGTGTAGGGTTTCGTTTAGGGTTTAGGGCCTATAGGCTTTGTGGGGTATAGGGCTGCTTTAGGGCTCATAGGGTTTAGGGTTTGGGGGTTCTCTTGCATCCTTAAGTCAAACAGAACCCCAGACCCTGCAGTTGGACCCCACGCCTCGGTTACCCTCGACTCAGCCCTTATAGTAGCCCTTCTAGACCCCCTTTCAAAGGCGCCCTTTAATGGGAACCCTATCCTCAAACCATGAAGGCCCCCGAACAACTTAAGGCCCCTATATGGGTGGTTGTCAAAATTAGGGTCCCTTGTTTGGGTACCCTAAATATTAGGTGCCGTACTATATTAGGGACCCAAGAAGGTACCATAATTTCGACAACCACCCAAATGATCCACGCCTCGGTTACCCGTAGGATGCACGGGACCGGCGACTTGCATTCGCCTCAAAGGGGTGGCATGGGAAGTCCCTGGGCCCCAGACATCAAGCTTACTTCTTCGGCTTCCTTCTTATGGTTTCAGTGTATGGGTCCTCAAAGATGTAGGTGCTTTGCGGCTTCGGGATTTACAGGGTTGTAGATTAGAAGCTGCCCCCCACCCTGTAAGAGTGGTATAATAGCAATATAATAGGGCCCTAATATAATCCTTATGGTCACTTTTACATGGTGGGGGCAGCTTCTAAGTTGTGGAGTCCAGGGTTTCCGATCCGAGGTCTCAACAAGGCTTGTGATAGACCGCTCATGCCCTGGATCGAGGAACCCTAGGCCAGAGTCCCTGGCCCTGGCCCTAAAGCGCTAAATCGCTACAGCTTGGAGGTTCATGGGACCTAGTAAGTAAGATTGTAAGTACCTTAATTGGGGCTATAAGTATAGTTACCCTGATTATAACCCAGGGTACTAAGTCCGGTGATCCTTGAAGAGGGTGCAAGGTCGAGTCTCGAGATTTCGACGAGGATGTAGGCTACCAAACCTGAGACCTCGAGATTTAAGCGCTTCTTGGGCTTCTCTTCAGGTTACCTAGCGGGCCACGTGCACCATCAGCAGCCTTAGTGCTTGAGGTTACGGGTTCGCATCGCTTGCTTTAGCATCTACCTAGATCCGAAGAAACCTACATGGGGGTTTCAGAAAATTAGGGGTACCTGATTTTGGGGTCCCATATAATCAGGATCCTACGGTCCCTTATTTTCGGAAACTCCCATGTTTACGGCTCCTTGTTTTAACTTCCTCATCTAGGCCCTTTCAAGAGGTAGGCTATTTGGGGTTAAGGTAGGGTCTACGAGAGTCGGCTCCGAAAGCCGAGCCCGAAACGCTCCAAAGCTTCCCTCACAGCTGGTTCTGGGTCCTTTAATTATAATAAGGTTTAAAAACCTAATGTAGGGTTCTGGGTTTCTTTTTTTATAAGGTTTAAATAGGGTTCCAGGGACAGCAACCCACTACGTAGGTAACTGGGCCTCACAGGGTTTTAGACAGGTGGTTCATCACGGGCCATGCGGTGAGGAAAGCCGAGCCCTGGGATTTCATGATGAAGAGGTGCGGTATCTGTTAAAACAAGCAGTCGCGTGCATGCGTCAAGCGGCAAGCATGCCTCCTTAAGGATGCGGACTTCCGTGAATGCTTAGAACAGGGTTTGGGGGGAATAATATAGCAGCTATAATATTACTTCAATCCAAAAGAAGGTTTCTAAAGAGTTATGCCCACCCGAATTGAATGTTGAATGGCCAAAAGCTTGGTGACTTTCCGCGAATGCCTGCCCCAAGGGTCACAGGGAGCACCCGAATATCAGTTACCCCGATGCACCATCCCAAGATTGAGACGGTAGACCCTTGTCGTAACGTGCACCGTTAGGGTTTAGGGGTTTAGGGTTTAAGGTCAGCCCCAGTGTGCATATCGCATCAAACCGCAAACCGTAATTTCACGAAGACTAAGACGCCCAAAACCCTGAAACCCTCGACACATATACTTCACGAGGAAGCCTCATGGTGGCCAATCCGAGCCACTGCCAAAGGCATGAGCTTACCCTACCTACAATCAACTTTTAATTAAGGTAGGCTACCGGGTGATGGGCGCGGTTGTCAGCCAATATAAACTAAGGACGACAGAGGGTTTATAAGGAAGATTAAACGCAAAAGGTAATGGGGCTACAAGGGTTCTAACCAAAAACGCCGAGACGTGCTAAATTACCGACCTGCCCAGCGCAGCATTACGAATCTAGGATCTAGGGAAATTGAACCCATATCTCTATCAAAGGCTCTGCTTCGATTTGTGGTTTGGTAGACCCCAAACCCACCCTGCGCTCTCGCCCTGATCGATAAAACTTGTTTTTGTGAGGATCATGCCGGTATGAGACAAATTTCAAGTCGCATCCGTTTCCGTAAAGAGATGTTTGTTGATTTGCGGTGCATCACGAAGAGATTAGAACTGCAGGATATGCTGGTAGGGCGCTGACTGGTTTAAAGTGTGTGTGTGGCGTTTAAGTAGATAGACGGAGGCGAAGGAGAATTGCAAGTTGTAAGCTAGGATTTAATATAACCATTATATACCCATTATATTGCCCATTATAGGGTAGGGGTCCCCATTAAGGGTCCCTCCTGTTCCCCTTTGATTGGATAGAAAAAACACTTCAAGCCTATACAGCTTAACCCCAAACCTAAACCCTAAACTAGGATAGAATAAACACTTCAAGCCTATACAGCTTCAGCTGCAATCCTGTCGGAGCTGCGCTCGTTTTTCTGCGCTCAATGATGTCGGCTAGTTACCCAGAGAGCCCAATACCCCTTAATTAAGGAATATAGCTTAAATCTTAATATGAAGCCCTATATAATTTAAGCCATATTCCTTAATAAAGGGGTGTTGGGCTCTCTAGTTACGAGGCTACCCATAGGCCCCAAAGTAGTTCCTTTTGGGGGTTCGTATATAGAATCCTATAGGGTAATCCCAAAAAGGAACTACTTTGGGGCCTATGGGTAGTTACGACTCACCGGAAACAACAGCCTCATAGAGTCGGCACAGCGGATCCATCTCAGGCCGTGGCGGCGACGGATGCTGCACGATCTGCATCGGAAACACAGGACTCCTGCGTTTCAAAAACAAGTGTTCCCTGCAAGTCCAGTTGATACGGTCATAAGTACACAAAAACCATTCAGAGCAGTGTTCGGAAACTAAAATCGACAATTCGGGGTTCACTCAGCTTGCCAAGCAAATTTTGTCGGACGGCATTGTTGAAGTTGAAGGAGGTCATTTTACGGACAAACCCCCTGGCTGAAGAACGTCCCAGAGACCCCTAAGCCCAAAATGCACCTTGAGTCTTGAGTGATAGAACTATCCTTGCTTGACTCTTGCTGTTCTTTACCGGAAATTCATGCAGCAAGGGAGTTTGATGCTTGCGGGTCGGATTTGGCATCTACTTCCAAGCTCTACGCAGGCCCTTTAAAAGATCCAAACCTCAACAACTGCACCGTCTTCACCCATATGGGGAGTTTCCGAAAATTTGCTGTACCTTATTTTGGGGTCCTTATAATAAAGCTCCTACTATTTAGGTTACTATCTTAGGGTCCCATATTTCCGAAAACCACCATCTACTGGCAGGCTTCCAGTTCGGGGGCTCTAGCTTCTAGATCCTGCTCGCACAGCTGCAATCGAACCCACTGAGACACCTGACATGTAGAATCCCTAGAAACTCCATACATGAGGCTGTGTAACAAGAACCTACAAAAAGGGCAACACCCTGGGAGCAGTAAAACCCTCCACCTTGCACCCTAAAACTTACGACCGAGATGGAGACACCGAAACTTAACCTCTAAAGCCAAAAGCCCCACAGCAATACAGGG